CTCTCTCTCGTCGTTGGTGAGCCAGTGTGTGATGACGGCGCCGCCCATGAAAGAACGGCCGGTGACCGGACGACCGGCCACCGGAGTCCGACCTCGCTCGGTCCATGGGATGGCCCGTTACGAGTTAATTAGCAAAATAAAAGGAGCTCCAAACTTCACGACTACCATCTCGGTGAACCGAGTTATTGAGAATGCTGGAACGTAAAAGGGAGCACCGTTTACGATACGTATCTTATACCGATCTATCATTATTTTTTTTTAAGTATATTTCACTCATTTTATATATTCTACTTCTATATAAGTTTTTTCTTTTATTTTTTTTATTTTATAATTAATTCATCGTCAGTAGAAATATTTTAATATCGTACATAACTCTCGTAAAATTCGTGTCGATTTAAAATCGTTATCTCTCTCTCTCTCTCTCTCTCTTTATATATACATTTTATGAAATCGTCACCAACACATTTTAATGATGTTTTTTTTTGCAATATTTCTACGTATACTTGAAATATAGATATTATTGGATGACCGTCGATTAATGGAACATCTCTGTCTAAAGGATCATTAGAGATAAAGTCAATCTCATAGACGAAATTCACAGCTGATCGTTTGGAAATATATAAAAGAAAGATGATTGCTCTTAAATAAAAAGAAAAGAAAAATGAAAAAAAGAAAAAAGAAAGGAAGTTTAGAAAGAAGGTTGTGAGGTGTTTTATTAAAAGATAAACGTTTCGACCGGTTTATTATTCCGATCGGCGCTTCTGAAACACGAGAAGCGACAATAAAGGATAAGCGCTCGTCGTCGAGTAATGCCGATGGAAGAAGCAGCTTAAAGCCCGTGACAAATACGAGCCTGAACGACGACGTACAACTCGCTCTCTTACGATTTACGATCCTTCTACATTCCCTAACCCTCTTTCGATCCATCTCGCACCCGTACCAACAACCCACCCACCCTTGTCATCAACTTAGAACGATCTAATTTAAGAGATTTAAGCTGTAACCCTTGCAAAAAGGGAATAGTCAAAAAAAATTTATAAAACTTGGGGATAGATCGGTCATTCATTCCGATCTACGATCATTCGAAATGATTTCAACCAGTTTAGCAACGCCTTGATTTCAATATAACCACTCGGTACCAATTAGAAACTTTTTACCAAGATTAACGACGGGATCGAACTAGTAGCTACCAAGTAACCAAGCTACTCTCTTTCTTTTTCTCTTTCTCTTTCTCTGTGAGTATCTTTCTTTCTTTCTTCCACTCGATCCTTGCAAACTCACTCGACGTGTTTTCCGATCTACGCTCGATGCGGCGAACGCAAGAGCAAGAGAACTACATGGGCGCCGAAGGAAGAACACGAGGAGAATCTATACCATGCTCTGGATAGATATATACTTGCTATGGGAAAGAGGAAAATCGTTTTCGAGAGATAGAAAAAGAAAGAAAAAGAAACAGATCTCACGAGATAGTTCGATCGACCAGAACCGCTTTTCGTGTATGGTCTTTTCGGTTTTCTTGTGATCTTCTTAGATAAATGTACACTGTTTCACGTTTAGATCTTGATTAGAGCTTGATCTTGATCATCCAAAGAAGCTATTGGTATAGAGAAAAAAGTTACATACAATTATAGGATTGAGTCGTACTTATCCGAGTTAAGTTAGAATTTATCAGAAAAGTTGGCAAGAGAAGTTTTCAAGTCGACGCCCATGGTGATCGTTGTAGGGTGGCCTCTAGTGGACTCACGTGAAGACTATAGAACAAAAATAAATAATCAATAACGTACTACTACCGCGAGGACCCTTGCAGAGTCTTCCATGTCTCTGTCTTTCGCGGCCATCGTTGTTGAGTAAAAGAAAGAAAGAGAGAGAAGAGTAGTGCGTTGTACACGTGAGAACGAGGCGAGCAAGGTATCTGAAAGGAGAAGGAATTATACGTCGAACAAGAAGGGAGAGAATAAGAAGGAAAGAGAGAAGTAGGTACATGGGAGTCAAGGAACTAGAAATGGATTCCGTTTGCGCGATTGAGAAGGAGAAAAAGGGGAAGGAAAAGGATGGGGACACCAGAAGAAAAATAGAGAGAGAGAGAGGGGGGTTGAATAAAAAAAGTTGGCACGATGTCGGTTGCGAGAGACACTGCTAGGGCTAACGAGAGACTTTGTAAAAGAAGAGGAGGGTGAAGATGCTAGTAAATAAGGAAAGAGAACTCTGACCGAGACTTACCGTATACTTTAAGTCCCAACATTATACTACTAATCGTTTATAAGGTAGTTACCATGTAGAACGCGTGACTTTTTATATGTTTTCAAACTAACGAAACTAATTAAAAATATTTTTGTTATACTTTCAATACCCATATTTGTTTTTTTTTTTTTTCAAATTATTTTTCGTTCTACATCCCACGACGAGTATTCATGAATATTAACAAAAGATAAAGGAAACGTAGTTTTAGCCAAGTTGCAAAAGGGGGCGAGAATCAGTAATGAGTAGGTTGCAGAATGGTTTTCTCTCAGTTGTCGACTCAGGGTGCTAGCAAAAACTCGCTCTCGATTCGCTTCACGAACGTTCATCGGTCTCAGAAAGAGAAAGAAGAGAAAGAGAAAGAAGAGAAAGAGAAATGAAAAAGGGAGAAAAAAAGAAGAGAAAGAGAGAGCGAGATATTCGGGAGAAAGGTTCCAGCGTATTAATCAAATACACGAGCGATTTGTCTTCGTTACACCCACGATGGCACCCTGATGAGAAGAAGGAGACCCTCGGGAGACATGAAGAAAGAAAGACAGAAAATGTTCTCTTCCACGTTCCGATGACCAGGAATCATTATTATTCGTTCGATCAAGCAAGCAAGCGAGCAAGCAAGCAAGCAAACCCCTTCTCGCAGATTTCGCTCAAACTCAGCACGCATACTTTCATGCATATATATATATATATAGCAATGGAACGATAAGCTCGATCGCTCGTTAGTCCCAAAGGATCGATTCTATGCACTGATGGTGTTGGAAAAACGATTCGTCTTTCTCGTGGCCATGAAACGTGAAAGAGTCATCGATTTTCTTCGATCTCTTTCGGAATCACGCGTCTGTCTCGTGTCGAGTGGATAATTAATCGAACTTCGAGCATTAACCTAAGCCATTGGCAAATTGCACTTTACATTACAGTACAGTTTAAAGATCCTTTAGATTTTTTCTTGTATAATACCAAAGGTCAACAGTCACGATATCATCGATCTTACCTTAAAGATACGCGGAAAGAGTATTGCGAAGGAACGATATATTGAATAAATGTTTTCTTCTTTTTAAGAATAAAAGCAAGTGTAATAAGATACCCGTGTCGGTCTCTTTTAACCAAAAACAAAACTATCGTATACGTCATAAATGTTAATCCATTTGATAGAAAAATCTATTAGATCTTTTTCTGTTCGATAAATTTTTATCGAATCCTTTGGTTTTTGTTTAATCGATCCAAGGATTTAGAATCAGATCGGTAGGATTGTATTACACGAGCACACATATTCGTAACACGTATATGTATATAGGGCGGAGTCTGAGGGAAAGGATGGTGACGAGGAAAACGAGTATAAATAGCGGTCAATAAATTATGCCGGTCACGTAAGGGAACGAGTAGCATCTTTAAGGACACTGCCTGAACGGCCCGATGTCACTCGATGTCACCGATGACGGTCATCCATGAGTAGGATGAGAAAGAGGTGGAACAGTTGCAGTAGGCTGAGCAACGGGGGAGAACGCCATCGGATATCGTGGAAATGGAAGAGATCGTTCTTAGACCGCCCAGCTACTCAACAAGACTTTTATATATATATATATATATATATATATATATCTCTTTCTCATGGACACCGTACACCACCAAGTCCACCTAGTTTTTCCTTCTTCTACTTGTACGAGAAAAACTCGTATGATACGTCGACGTAGATCGAGAACAACGCGGGAGATCCACAGGATTTGTCGGAAGCGTGATCGAGTAAAAGAAAGAGAGAGAGAGAGAGAGAAAGAGAAAGAAGAAAAGAGCGCGTGCTCCGTGATCTTACAGCAAAAGGGAAGATCCCGATTTGGATCAAAATCGTGGTGGATCGATCTATCGATCTCTACAATTACCCGTACGCGTGCACTGTATGTCTAACTCCATACCGTATTTGATGAACTGTCGATCACCCTCCTACGGTGAAGTACTTATTTCTCAATTGATTTTAAAATCATATTTTTAATAAATAATACAGCTTTATCGGAAGATAGATCTCTATCAAGAACCTGATCTTTAAAGTTAATTTACATCACACTTTATAAGTACCAATGAGATAGATTTTTAAAAAAGTCTACATAGTTTTTGTTCGATCAGTCTTTCCGAGAAAAAGAAAAATCATTAAGTTAAATTACTTGCGATCATGGGACAGAGAACATTGAAACAGGTACGAGTCTCGAATGTACATTTTGATGGAGCCGACTTAACAAACAACCATCGAGAGAAACCTTTTGGCTAATTAGCCAAATTAACGGGATACAAAGAGTTCGATCGTTATGTCGGTTACAAGGACACGTAGTCGAATTCGTTTTCGGTATCTTTCTTTTTCCAAAAGCGTTTACACATCCCCCATGCACTTTCCTACCCAAAAAGTCTTTTCATGCGTTCATTCGTTCGTTGGTACGAGTCTCTTGTCCGACCAAATCGAAGCCATTAATCGAATCCGAGTAAATAAATTGATTTGACATCCAGAACAAACCTCGAATTGTTACGCTACAAGTGGATCCTACATTTTATCTTTAAACGTTTCGCTGAAACATTCGATACAAAAATCTTAACAATTTTCTACGTTTTGTTTGTTTTATTTTTATTTATCCTTTATCGTTTAAATAGTTTGCTAAAAGTTCAATCAATTTCCTAAGCAATAAAATAACGAATTAATTAAGCAACGAAATAATTATTGTTAGTGTTACAATTTTTCTTTCTGGTTATATTAATATTTTCTTTTTATTATATTATATTTTCAGGTGAACGACCAAGTCGATTTTATTTAGCTACAAACGAACCTGATCTATCCATGGATCCCAACACGGGGATGCTGAGGATTCGATTACCCCTCGATCGAGAAACACGAGACAAATACATTTTAAGCGTCGAAGCGAGAAACGGTGTTTCAACTGGATATTGTCAAGTGAGTTTGGTTATTCTTTTTTTGGTAATACGATATTTTTCTAATCCGTACTGACAAAAAAAAAAAGAAGATGATGTTATATTTGTTTTAACGTCAAACATTTGATATCAATTTGTCTCTTAGGTGGAATTATTAGTGGAAGATGTAAACGACAATGCACCTTACTTTCGAAGTGTAAGCTTACGAATTTCGGTACCAGAATCGCATCCCCTCCACACGGCCCTGTTCGTAGCACATGCAACAGATCGAGACTCAACACCACCATTACCAATTCGTTACGTGTTAGTACAAAACAGCAACGATTTATTCGGCATAGATGGACGTACTGGTGAACTTTATCTAGCAAGACGATTGGATTATGAAACTCAACAGAGGCATGGTTTGCTGATAAGAGCTTTGGATGGTGCAGGACTCTCCGCGAATCTCAGTTTGAGCGTGGAGGTTCAGGATGTGAATGACAACCCCCCAGTGTTCGAGAGGAACGAGTATCACGTGGAGGTTCCCGAAGGCGCCAGGCTCGATTCCCAAGTGAGAAAAATCTTCATTACACGCCCGTCACACGCCCATTTATTTGTCCAGTTGAATCCATTTCTTTTTCCACGATGTATGGGTGTCCGTATTAAATCTTTCTGCTCGTGATATTCACTACTACTGGTCAAAAAAGTTTATAATCGTTAGGTAAATTCAGAGAAATGAGACATATATATTTGTATATATTACCAAAATTAGAAATAGATCAGTTTGTCCAAATATCTTATGAGCACTATATTTTACATTTTTTATTATTTTTTGCTTATCAATTATTTTTTTTAAATATTTCTAATTGAATATTAGGAGCATACAATACAAAAGCATAATAGACAATAAAAATTCAACTTGTTAATAAGTTAGAAAAAAAAACTGAAAGATGAATCGTAGTAAGATTTAGAATCTTAGTAAAGTTAATAACCTTTTAACGTCGGAGTCTCCTTAACTTTATTATTCTCTTCATTTGGATTCAGTAAAATCTTCTTCAGCGAGTATGTAATTTCATTCGGTGGGAGTAATGTGTTTTAATAGATAATCGTCGGCCGTCTTCGTATTACGCTTCTGAATCAACTCTTTGAAGAAAGAGAAAAGAGTGAGAGAGAAAGTAACCTAGACGAACGAGTAGAAAGGGATTAGTTAAGTCGAATCTTACTCAAGAGGGATTAGCTTCGACCAACCAAGAGCTTAGGAAAGAAATTTTATTCGGAGATTAATAAGAAATAGCTTGATTATCTGATATATACAAATGTGAGTGAAGCAACATAAATGTCAGTTTATAGAAGTGATAGGTAACAGAGCTGAAATTAAATACGTACAAGATTTTCCGCGCTTGTCTCGATCAAATAAGTGATTTTCAAAAATAAAAAAAGAATGAAAAAGAAAGAAGAAGAAAAAAAACGTCTATCATTAAAGATGTGCTGTACTTGAACTAGTACGAAAAGATGATGAGAATGATCATCAAGTTATGGTATTTTTCTTTCTCTTTCAATGATCGTCATCGAAGAAGATCTTTCTGCGAGACGGATAACTCAGGCAGGTATCTTTCTCGCGATGTTAGCAACGAACGAACGTAATCCCGAATACGAGGATCCCGATGACGAATGACCCTGAGATCTTTGCCGCAAGATACGCCCGTTAAATGACGTCACATTTTTAATACAACTCGCACGAGAGAGCGATAGAAACGACCCTCTCTCTTTCTCTCTTTATTTCTGTCTGTCTCTCCTTTCTTGAACCTTCTCATTCTTCCTCATTTTGGTACTCGATCTTCAGTTTTATCTTTCTCTGGTGTACACGTATATATCGGTAGTATCTATCGGCGAAACAGATCTGTGAGCTGTCGGTGCTATCTGGACAATATCTTGGCTTACAGTGCTAAAGAAAGAAAGAGAAAGAGTACATAGCAAGAGTAACTTGGCTGCAGTGAGCGTAACCCTTCACCCGGTGCGAACTAATAACGTACAGTTAGACACATTACAGGCTGCTCCCACGTCAGGTTTTCTTCTAATGGTACTACCTCGTCTCCACCTTCAGTTTCATTCTGAAAATCTTCCTTTTTCTTCCTTCCTTCCTTCCTTCCTTCCTTCCTTCCTTCCTTCCTTCCTTCCTTCCTTCCTTCCTTCCTCTAATAATATTATTTCATTCTTTTACATACTCATTGGTATTTGAAATTTTATTGACCTTCTTAATGCGCGATACTCCCTCACTGGAAAAGATCGACCGGTTCGAACGTGTTTGAGGTTCACGGGGTCCTTGAGGAAGTGTAATTAATACTGAACGACCGGATCGACGAGTCTTTTCTCTCACTCTCTCTCTTTTTTCCTCTTATCTCATTGGATACTTTTTCTTTCTTCCCATAAAGCCCCTCGTACTATGAGAAACGTTTGACTAACACGTTTGAACCTACGTTTGATCCTTTATAATATCCACTTAAAAAGACTCAACATTACGAGATTCCTTTTATTAAACAACTTTGAATATGTAAAAGAAAATCCGATTAATTTTAATTCATCAATTTGTTCTTAACAAAAAAATATCTTTTCTTTACTTTAACGACGTTCATTTTATCTCTAATAGATTCTACAAGTGACTGCAGTGGATCTCGACACAGGAAACAACGCGAGATTGAGTTATCGTCTCCAGGGTTCCGCGGCGTTTCGCATCAGTCCAAACACCGGATGGATTTACCTGGCGCAGGTGCTCGATCGTGAAAGCGTCGATCGGTACGCGTTAACAGTACTGGCAACGGACAACGGTTCACCGGCAGCTACAGCAAGTGCTTCCGTTCTCGTATCCGTTCTCGATGACAATGACAACGAGCCACGTTTCGAAAAAGATTTTTATGCATTCGATTTATTGGAAAATTTACCATCCGATACCATAGTTGGTTCTGTCAGTGCAACCGATTCAGATCTTGGAAAAAACGCTTTACTAAGATACGCCATCGTTCAAGCTAACAGCAGTTTTTCTGTGGATCCTGATACAGGTAAGAAACACAATGTTGTTTTTTTTATCCTTTTGGTTTTTTTTAAGATCAATACTATATTTGTGATTCATTCATACTTCCATCACTAATCTCTAATCCGATTACACGCTTGAAATTTTCTATCATTGGTATCGTGCGAATAGAATACATAGACGTCATCTCGCTTTAGAAAATTTATTGCTAATTGGATACATTAAGCGGACCATTACCCAACGGCCACCGGCGTATACCTTTAAAGATTCTTCGAGAACTAAGAAGGAGAATAATACACGTGGGGATATCGATGACGAAGAAATAAACCATCTGAGAAATAATTTAACGGAAGTAATCTAACAATCCAAACGATTCCCTCTTACGTTCGAACCAATGATCCGATTCTCTTAATATCTTTTGTTTCCTTCTAAACTGTTTAGTATCTCAAGTATCTATTACTACTCAATCATCTTAAAAAAAAAAAATAGACATTTTATATAGCCTCATCTATCGTTGAAATACCGCAAAAACAAGCTGCGATCGTAAACCCAAGAATCTATAAATTTTGAAGACTCTTTTAAACTATACGACCGCAAAAACGTGTTAATATTTTGTACGTTGAAAATATTATTTAATCTCTTTTCTTTAACTTGATATCTTGACGATACAAAATAGAAAAAAAAGAAAAGAAAAATGCTTTTAAACGCATACCACGTTGATTAGTTGAAAATTATTAGTTATACGAAAGTATCAAATGAGTTTTGAAAACAAACGATACAAAATGACGAACAAAATCTTTTCATCAGACTTTTGAAAGCAAGAAAAAAAAATATTTTAGCAAAGAAAGTATCTTGAAAAGCTTTCTTCGATCTCTTCTTCTTCTTCTTTACACACTTGATATTGTCTGGTCCTATCAATGGATAATTACGGAACAAATTTAGCGAGACGATTCGATTTTATTTCTTCGCGTTAATTGCAACGACAGAATGTCTTGGTTGGAAGAGTTGAATGAAGAGACGGACACCAGGTAGAGGGATCGTATCATTAACAAGGAAAGGTGTGGTGCATTGCAACGCGAAACGCATCCTTCCGTGCAACTGCGCGAGAGCGTTCTCGAAACGACACGTAATAAGATGCAATGAGTGAGATAGCATGTGCTCGCGACCGCGTACGTGACGCTTTTTGCCCTTTGCATTCGTGTATCCTCTGGGTCATGGGTATCAGAGTATAATCTCGTAAGAGGTGGTGCTTTCGCTTCATCGGCGTGTAACGAATCATCGGAAACTGGCCCAAGAATTGCTTGCGTGTGTGTATTTGTATTTGTGTGCTGTGTTTGTGCACTGTGTGCGAGTAGTCGATCCTTTCCACTCTCTCTTTCTCGTTATATACCTTTGATTGGCATGCGACGTAAGAGTATTTGTGTATGTTCTCTCTTGGTACGTGGCAAGACCAGACCCTTACATTCTTCACGAAAAAGAAAAAAAAGAAGCAAAAATAAAAAAGAAAGAGAGAAAGAGAAAGAAGAAGTGGGGGGTCTCGTCGGACTGCCTGTTTGCGCTCGATGGAAAAAGTTAAAATAAAGAGGAGGATCCTACACTTGCCGGAAGGATCGGTCCTCTCCTCCACGGGTATTTATATGTTAATCCTTCGACAAAAGATGCTCCCTGCGTCGTTCCGTACAACTTGAAATACGAAATTAAGACGACGAGGAAATGAGACGAGAAATTCCTTTCTTACAACTTTATGATTTTGTAAATAGTCCGTAATTGTTCCTTTGGACAAATATCTTATTTCATTTTTTAAAAAGACAAGAATATAAACGAAAGAAAAACTTTTGTCAAAATGATCAAAAATGATATGTAAAAAGACTCGAAAGAAAATGGTTTTCAAAGTTCATTCGAAACGTGATTAGATTTGGGTCGGTAAACGATACGAATATATTCCCAAATATTGGAAGGTGGGAAGGGAGGGAAAATCCAGAAAGGTTGGGTCCCACGGCTAACACGAGAAACGCATTAGCACGCGTCCTACGATATACTTCTTATTGTTCCGCGATGGTATCCTTCGATGCCGGCGCGTTTGCATGTTTCTCGTCGATCGTTTGTCTTGTCGACGAGGTGGAGGACTACGAACGAACGAACGTACGAACGACGTCGACGACGACGACGACGTTTCTGCCGCGAACAGTCAAAAGGAAAAAAGAGAGAGAGAGAGAGAGAGAGAGAGAGAGAAAGAAAGAAAGAAACAGGGACCAAGCTACGTTGAGAATTCGTCGAGGCACGCGAGAATCTTTTTTCTTTCCTTCTCTCTCTCTCTCTCTCTCTCTCTTTCTGTCCACGAATTATTATCCTGATCCTTTTTCAGATCCTGGAATAGTTATGCCGGCAGACTAGGCGCTTCCTTAATTACCCATTAATACGCAGACCGGTCGAATGGACAGCCAACACTAGCTTTCTGTCTCTCTCTTTTTTCTGGTTCTGACTCTTTTCCACTTTTTTCATATTTCTTCTTCACCTTTCGTAATTACAAAGATGCTCGTTACAGACGATCCTACGTACGTCCTTGAAACGGTTATTATATACGCGAGAAAAGTCACTTACATATAGAATGAAAGAAAGAAAGAGAGAAAAGAGAGAGAGAAAGAGAATAAGGGGGGAATGTCAGAGACCATCACACGAATGACGATTATCCAATTAACCATACCTGGCGAAGAAAATTGATAAAGTCTCTCCCTTTCTCGTATTTGTCCTGTACCTCTCTATTTTATTACCCTAATCTCTTTTTGCTCTTTATACTGTAACTTCATGTTGGAATTTGAAGCTGAAAATCGCTTTAGTCTTATCGAAGGAAACTAAGACATTTGATGTCGAGCGTTTTAAGTCAATGTGGATATCCAGTATCCTTCGAGATTACTATTAAACCATAATCGATTTCATCACGGTTATATTGTGGGAATGAAAATTGCATTTGGACTTATCTATTTCATTAGACTCGATAGAGTATACGTATATATGTAATAATAATAATAATAATAATAGTAGTAACGAGGACAAAAATTCTTGAATGTATCTTAATTCGTATCCGCTCGAGGATAATCTTGGAAAATAAAATATATAAAATTATTCAAAAGCATAGTACATAAAACATAACTATCTTTTTAAGATCGAGACTGATGAACGCATTGCTTTTTGTCGTTGCTCGTAAACATCTAAGTCACTGGAATACTCGTTTTCTTCTAACAAAAAGAAATATAAGAAACATTCGTTCCTCTTTTTCAGAGGAATCACTCGTTAGGCAGTCCACTATAGCCAAAAGAACAAATTGGTTTTTTTTTACGTATCAATTATCATAACTTATATGTTAACTTTGTCAAACGATTTTCAGGCGAAATTACAACACGTGAGCCTCTTGATCGTGAGAGGAAAGGATCGCACGAGTTGGTACTAGAAGCAAGAGATCAAGGGACACCCTCGAGGGCAGCTAGAGTGTCCTTGAAAGTGACCGTACTCGACGTTAACGATAATTCGCCAGAGATCGTCGATCCTCAGGGTGACGTCGTCAGCGTGAGAGAGGAGCAACCACCTGGAACAGAAGTAGCAAGAGTCAGAGCTTTAGACACTGATCTCGGTGAAAATGCATCTGTAACTTACAGTATTTTGAAAGGTGAGTTAATATATCACTAAAGTAAAAGTTAAATATTGACCAACTAAATTTTTTACTTGACCAGTTTTTTCCAGCTTTCTTTCCTTTTTTATTTATCTATTAATTCATAATGTTTGAGTTTCCCTTTCGTTTTATTCCGGTGATGTTCGATCATTGTCCAATTACGATTATCTCGGAACGAGCTGAAAGCATCGCAGTCGCTAATTACGAGAAACGAGAGTGAAAGGCAATAATAATGTCTCGTACCTTAGTGGCTACGAAGCTGTTCCTTGGTTCTTTATTATCGACCAAAGGGTTGAACTTCTTAACGCTTTAATAGCCAAAGCGCAATTACCCAAACGATTATGCACGGCTTTAATGGCAAAGTTAAGTGTTTTTGTCTTACAATATCCAACAGCAATATAGTATCGATTAGAGAATGTCGCCGCGAGACATTCGTAATAACAACGATCGGAAATGAATTTTCTTTCTAACAAGTTTAAACAAGATTCCTCGATGCCATTTTCAGAGAGAAAAATCTTCAACAGTATTGACACTGACGAGTCCGTAACTTTGCATTATTTATTTTCAATTATTTCAATACTTTTGTCAAACATGTTTTTTGTTCAAATTATTCTGTAAATGGAAAGTTGATTTAAAGAAATCATCCTTTAGTTTTGGATTGTCAATGAATCTTTTGAAATTCTATTATCACAGATCGCGACTCCGATGGTTACAACGTCTTCACGATCGACCCGATCACCGGCATGATCAGGACCAAGGCCGTTCTGGATCACGAAGAACGCAATGTATACCGGGTGTCTGTGAAGGCAACGGACGCTGGCCGACCGCCACGACACAGTGTCCGTGCTTTGAGAGTCGAGGTTCTGGCACTAGCCGATAACCGGCCGACCTTCACCAGCAGCAGTTTTACCTTTAACGTGAGTATCATACATTTACCGCACTATAGGATACGTTCTTCCCTCGTTTACTTCCTCTACTAACCTCTGGATCGTTCATGACTTGACAGCTATACCTAACGGGAATATTCTAGTTTTTTTTTCATCCTATTCGGAAATGGTAATTTGAGATATCAACAAGTTTCGAACGAAAATAATTTCGCAGGTGTGCGAGGACGCAAATATTGGACAAGCAGTAGGATCGGTATCAGGAGCAGGTCCAGCAGGACGAGTGGCATTTACCTTGCATTCGTTAACACCCATCAGTGAATTCCCAGCTTTCGACGTAGATCGAGGTTCAGGTCAATTGGTGGTCGCCCATTCTCTTGATCGCGAAAATGTGAGCGAGTATCATCTGGAAATTCGTGCGTTGGACACTACGTCGATCGGAAATCCACAAAGTATAGCAGTTTCGGTGAAAATCGTCATCGAAGATGCCAATGATAATCCACCACGTTGGCCACAAGATCCAATAACGGTTCGAGTCTCAGAAAAAGCTACGATAGGCTCGACAATTTATAATCTAGTAGCTACTGACTTGGATAGCGGTTTAAATGGTGATCTGAGGTATGGCTTGGTTGCTGAGTTTCCTACGAGTGGTGGCTTCGTCGTTGATTCCTTAACTGGTGCCTTGTCTCTAACTAAACCTCTGGACAGGGAAGAAAGAGCGGAATATACTCTAATTCTTAAAGCTTACGATCGTGCACCACCTGGTGAACAATTGGCTTCAACTGTTACGGCTCGAATAATGGTACTTGATCAAAATGATAACGATCCTGTTTTCGTCGCTCCAGAGACCACTAAAATCGCAGTTACATCGGATATCTTACCAGGTAAGAACAAATTTACGAACTCTTATTTTTATAAAGATTCTTATTAACTTATTTGTCATATGTGACATTTCAGGAGCGACTTTAGTCAGAGTTGTCGCAATAGATAAGGATGCAGGTGACAATGGTCGAATATCTTACGTGATTACATCGGGAAACGACGAGGGAAGATTTTCAGTAGGTTACGAGTCCGGTATAGTGAGTCTGGCAAGACCCATGATCCGACCCACGGAACTCGAGATCACGGCCAACGATCACGGATCACCGCCACGCAAGGCCACCCTGAAGCTGACCTTGACCCTTGCCGCTGGACAAACCAGAGGACCTCCTCGACTACTGCTTTCTAATCCTGTCGCTCGGATCTCCGAGGATCTTCGAACTGGCGCATCCGTTATGGACGTTGCTGGACCAGCCATCGTCGATCAAGGTAAGAAAAGACTCTAATGATTATTTATTTTAGTAGTCTGTAAGAAAATTTGTCGAGCAATTTATAATCTCTTTTTGATAAATGATATATTTATCTTTCTTCGGCATTGTTAAAAGAATTAATCGAGTTCAAATGGCAGAGTTCCTGTTATTAGGAATATAATCATGATATTAGAGTGGATCACGTTTTAATACTTTCGTATCTACTCTTATTATTTTTTCACGATCTTTTCTAAAGAAACATATCACTCATCATCATCATCATCATCATCATCATCATTGAGTTCTAGTTGAAATTACAACCTCGGTTCTTCTATCTTCATCTCTTCTTTCATCCTCATACTCGATTCTCTTGATCTTCCTCTCTTTCAGCAAAGAGATATAATACTACTTTCCTGGTATACTCTATAAGACACCACCTACACGTACGGACACGCGAAGGGTACATAATCGGAGACCTCGTCCACGAAGGATGTCCGTTCTCGGCTAATAGAAAAGCCTTGCTATGAAAATACCTCGAATAATTGCCTTGAATCCGACCGGTACAAAGCATTATAGTAAATTCAACGAAATGACTCGCGGGACTACGTTGAACTCAAGAACGTGTTTCCTCCTTCCTTCCTTCCTTCCTTCCTTCCTTCCTTCCTTCCTTCCTTCCTTCCTTCCTTCCTTCCCGCGAAACTTTGCCTTATTCCGATAGATATAAAACAAAAAAAAAGTAGTATTTAACTTTGATCAACAAGATCATCGATTAGTTTACAATTGAATAAAAACAAAAATTAATTAAAAATTACAGTAAACACATTCAGATATTCACTAAACAAATTTAAAAAACAATAACTATTAATCCTAGTATTTCTCTTATTGCACATGAACACTATAGGGGAATGGTGTTAGGATTTTGAAAATAGTAATCCTAGTAGCAAAGCTTACGTACATACTTAGTAGTAAAAACAGTTGGACAACATGGTATATAGCTGGTTTGCCCTTATCTACGGGGGTGCTCGTGTATCAGACGAGCGCATTAGCGCAACCCCGAGAGAAGCGGCGGCAGGACGAGTGTTTCATGGGGCGGTGGGTTGGAAAAACAATGGTCACGTATATCATCGTGCCGCCAAGCTGCCGCCAAGCTATACGCATAGGCCATAGGGCCCATAGGCAAATCACCAAGCAAACACACCGACGACACATACTATCATCGTCTACGATTCTTTCTTTCTCGTATTAGTACCTGTTCTTAGATGCATGTGTATATACAGGTACTAGCAACCTATCACTGGTACGCACATGCTACCAAACGTGTTTAGCCTTCGCTTTGTTCTAAAACCGCTAAAAATCGACAAGCAGATAGGCCGATTTCTTCGTCCTATGGAATTTGAGAGCTTCGAACCTGCTCGTGTCTCTTTTCTCTTCCTCTTCTAGAAGGAAATTTTTATCGCATCAAGAATTCCTATGCTATTAAGGATCAGAGGAAACACAAAGAAAAAGTTATTTACCGATTATACTTACAATTAGTTTAATATCGTCGATCGGATCGATTAGAATATTTCGTTGATTTTTAGTTTTTTTCTTTTTTGACCCCCTAATGATTTTATATTCTTGATCTTGCGTCAGGGTTGTATGCAAAGTAGATTACAAGTACATGAGATATAACTACATGTTATAATAATTTATCCCTACATTAAATTCTTTCGGCGACTTCGAATTTGTTTTATTTTTTTTTTTTTTCTTACAAGAGATCTTTTGCAAAACGTGAGAATTTATTGGAGGACTCGAGTTTCTTTTTGTACAAATGGAAATAAAGGAAACAGGTGAGATACGAGAAAGAAAAAAACCAAGGATCCTCTTCTTTCGACGAGGCCACCCAAATTCCGATTGAACAACGCGCGAATTTTTGGTCCTTGGTGTTAGCCGTCTTACAAAATTTATCCATTCAACATCTGGTTTTTCTCGATATTATTATTTTATAATAGACAAGAAAAAACCAAAAAATATCTTATCATGAAAGATTTAAAACGATAAAGAATCTCATAGCCAAAAACTTCGAAAGAGTTCAACGTTGTTTGATCTTTTTTGATTTAAAGGAGTGGTCAAGAAAGATCTGCATTTCATTTCCAACAGGTGAATTCATCCTACCGGAATAGTTGCATTCTTCAAAAAGATAAAACAGCTATTTATAATCCTAATCGAAATAAAAGAGATTCTTATCTAAATTATCTTAGTCATTTGACTTTTCTTTCATCTATATCATTAGAGAATCTTTCGTTTCTTCTAGGCAATATTAGCTTCAGCATACCGACAAACGTAGCCGCAAATAAATTCGCTATTTCACCAAATGGCCTTGTTACTCTTCGAGGATCTTTGGATAGAGAAGAAGTTTCGGAATACTATATACCAATCATCGCTAGATCCTCCAAACTTTTGGATATCACAACTTTGGAAGTACAGGTTTTAGATGAGAATGACAACAGTCCGAAATTTCGTGCTGGATCTTGCTACACTTTGGCTATACCTGAAAACGGAGAAAATTCTATTATTCATACGATTGCTGCTATGGATGCCGATGAAGGAAAAAATGGTGAACTATATTACAGCATTATTGGTAAGTTTTACATTGACGATAATAAAAACCATCTTCTTGCATCAAATAATACAATATAAATTTAAAAAAAAACACAAACTTTTTTATTTATCAGGTGGCAATATTGGAAATAAATTCAATTTGGATTCTACGACTGGTGAATTATCGATGATAAATCTGGATCGTGAAACCGTGCCAAAGTATGTTCTCACGATATCAGCAAAAGACAAAGGACGACCAAGCTTAGAAGCTCGTTGTAATCTGACAGTGATCATTCTCGATGTAAACGATAATGCACCAATCTTTTCCCAAAATCAATACACCGAATCACGTTCTCGTGGTGGACTTCAAATCGATTACAGTGGCTATAGTTTATCCGGTGGCTTTCAATATGGATCGTCAAATTATCCTACGAGTTATCATCCTGGAAAATACATCGCAACCATTTCGGAAGATGCTGCACCAGATTCAAGTGTAATGTCTGTTAGAGCAACTGATCCTGATCAAGGTGTCAATGGAAAAATCACATACGCGATTGCTGAAGAAAACAGCTGGTTGTTCAGGGTTGACAATTTGACTGGTGTTATAACTACAGCTGGGTGAGTAATATTTTATATTCAAATGGATCGTAAATTTATTTCACTAATCAACTAAAACGTGTTTGTCGCATATCATAAATATAACAATAATTCTTTTTCGATTCGCGCGTATTTCTTTATTTTTTCTTTTGGAATACTCGAAGCTCTGTTGTAAGATAAAACGAACTGATAGACCAAACAATTAAAACGTCCAATTTGTTTTATGACTTCCAAAGAATTTCATCCGACGAGTTTCTATTTCTCTTTTACTTTCTTTCTTTCTCTCTCGCATCACGTAGAATTACAGTCTAGAACTTGTCTACCTAACACCGAGGAGGAACGTATCTTCGACCAATTTCATCCAAGCGTTAATTGCCGCGACCTTTATTGCGCGATTAGGATCATCGTGAAGGGATATTACGTTCGTAATGCTACGTCGTAAAACGTAGAAGCTGAGAGAAAGAGAAAGGAATATATAGAAATAGATAGTGAATGGTAGACAAAGAAAATAGAAGATCCATTCTCAAAGAATGAAGAAGTCCGATGATATGGCGAGCGAGGGAGGATAAACGTAGAAAATGTTCTTAGGAAAGTCATAAAATTATAAAGTCCTCTGATGCGCTTCGCGGTCATTGTACTGTAGCCGATTAGATGATTCTGTATGCATAAGCCGTTCGTGTAGCTCGGTGACTAGAGAGACGGAAGAATAGATTCTTTTATTCTTCATCGCTATATCTCTCTCTTTGTTTTTTTATTTCTTCAGTTATCCTGTATCTTTTAGCAATGCGTATTCAAACTTTCCTTTTCCTTTTTGTTTTTTTCTTTTAAATTTATTTTATTCGTATAAAACTGCTTATTAAACTCATATCTCGGAACGTCGTTAAATCGAAAAGATTTTTCTAAACTTCCGTCTTCCCAACGGTGCATTACTAGAATCACGGTTTAACTAATTAATAGATGATTTCACCGTATAAATGCAACAAACTTTGATCTTAGCCGTGCATACTCGGTTCAATTTTCTTCGTTAACCTGTTCGTTAATAATAATGTTCGATCTGGCATCTTAGGATTCATTCGAATATTTAATTATGCGTTTAGAGAAGGAAAGAAAGAATAAAGGAAGAAGAAGAAGAGGGATAGATAGATAAATAGATAGAAAGAATCTCAATTGGTAAAACGTTCCGTGAACGGTGCACGCTTTTAACGATCGTATCTTATTCAGGACCGATCCATAAAGATAATCTTTAAGATATGGTAGATTCCTGTAAGAGATCCTCTTTCCCTCCTCCTCTGCCATCATCTTCGTCAACGTTGTCCTCGAGTTGTTTACTTGAAACGATTGCTCAACATATGCATAATGAGATCCGTTTCTTCATTAAAACCCTTGAAATTCGCTTCACAATAAATTTCGTCTAACTTAGGAAAGTACCAAGAATGGATAGAATTCAAAATGTATTTTTATTTTAACACACTCGATGACTCGAAAGGAGAACATCAAAATCTCCATCTTAGAACTACGTGTCAGGGTCTTAATTTAGAAAGCAAGAAGGAGGGTTGGTTAATCCCAATGGAGTCGGACATTCACTCGTTAGACCTTTTGTTTATTAATCCACGTTTCTCAAGAGCCTCTCTCATCCTCCTCTTGTCTCTTCTTCTTTCGTCTCTTTAAAAGACGCTCAACGGTGCGAGAGCGAAGGTAGAGAAGGTTCGACCGTAACAAGACGGAACTTTAAGGTAGAATGAGGGGGAGTGAAAAAGAAGGAGAGAAAGAGATGGTATTCGTAGCTGCGAAGGAGGAAGGCAAGGGCGTACTTTTGCGGCACGACAGCCGTGTGTCATTTCAGCGGGACACCATGTGGCATTTCAATGCATTATTTCAACCGGCAAAAAGGCTGATATGCAAAACGAGATCCCTAGTCTGGTTGGTCTCCTACCTCCTTCCTCTATCTTTCTCTCTTTCTCTCCTCTCTCTCTTTGTCCTTTTTTTAAGCGATCAGTAGCCAGGCAAAGCCGCACTCTCATGTCGCGTTGTTACTGTTGTTGCCGTTATTGTTGTTATTGTTTCCACTGCTGTTACCTTTGAAGGCCAACAGCGTCCACCGCCACGTACCCTGGTCAGCTCTAACGTGTACAGAACCCTGTTTATTTCCTGGACCTCCCGGTAGATAAAACGCGAATTCTCAAGTCGGATTTGGTCCTCGTTAGATCAACAAGATAGTACAGATTCGATGGAAGATCTGGAGTAAGGCTGATTCTGGTTGTATGATTCGCGACAAAGCTAGCGGATCTTTCTCTTCTTCTTCTCTTTCTTCTTCTCTTTATTGTTCTTGTCTCCTTGGAGAAGTCCTTCGAGAAGCCATTAACGCTCGTGCCGAGTCAAAGGGGACACCGAAATACTTTGTAAGCTATCTTGATCTCATGCAACTCGAGCAGCCCATTTAGAACGATTTGCTTGGGGTTTGGCTTAACGAGGTAAAACAGACGAGAAAGAGAAAGAGAGAAAAGACTTTGTGTGTTTTACGTAAGAAGCATTGACGACGACAAGGAGAAGGATAAGAAAAGAAAAAAATAAAGAAAAAGAAACAGAAACAGAAAGAAAATAAAAAGAAAAAAACAGAAATAAACGGGAGTTTATCAGGAATTGAATCGATCACAGTTCGAAAATGATAATTCACGCATTCCTTTTCTGCGAGTCCGCACGATTAAAGACGCGTATCGGTTCAGCACAACATCTACCGCTTAGAGTGGATCCGCAGAGTTATGGTAATGGTGGACGTGGATTACACAAGATCGCCGTGCGCGATTAAGGTTTCCGTCACACAAACAAGCTGCCCGCCACGGAGCCGCCATCTCCTACTTAAATCCGGACTTCCATAACCCCCGTGGACGTTTCCCTTGTCGATTCGTACTATCGCTTATTCCTCGATGAATCGCCCAATGAGAGAACGTACGAATGGCAGAAAGTGATAAATTCCTGCCATATTCGGACCCGACGTATTTTATCGTATTCCAAGTTTTACCCACCTAACAGTCGATCTACATTATCAAACATGAAACGTGTATGAAACGTGTGTGTATGCATTCTTTAACAAACAAACTAACAAAAGCCAGGAATCTCTTTTTCCTCCAAATGAATCTTATTTATTCAACGTGTTAGTAAAGTATCTTTATTGGTAATTTCAGGCCCCTCGATCGTGAACGTCAGAGTTTGTTCAACTTCTTAGTCGTAGCTACGGACAGTGGAAAATACGACGCTAAGAGTACGTCGATACCGATTGAGATCACCATCACCGACGTGAACGATAACGCACCGGTTTTCGAGGAATATCCTTTCCGTGCTAGAGTATCGATAGGTACTCAGCCAGGTCAGAATGTACTTCGAGTCGTGGCGAAAGATGCCGATCACGGTGCTAACGGTGAAGTCGTTTATTCGTTTGTGCACGAACAAGAGAAGCCAAAATTTCGTATACATCCAAGTACGGGAGTAGTCACGGCAACTTTATCATTGTCGCAAGACAACGGGAAGACCTATCGATTGGAAGTCCTAGCTCGGGACAAAGGAAATCCACCAAAAAGTGCTAAAGGTTTGATCGAAGTTCAAGTAGGAGAATCAGCCGATTTAGGCCCAACTTTAAAATTCCAAAATGAAACTTACGACGTGGTGGTCCAAGAGAATTCCTTATCTGGCACCGACATCGTCCAGATAACTGCCGTTCGTTCAGACGGCAGGAGACAACACGTGTCCTATTCGATAGGATCTGGAAACGACTTTGGTACATTTGCCATCGACGAGGATACAGGATTATTGCGTGTGAACGACCCAGCCAGACTGGACGCCGAGCTTTGGAACGATCTAACGGTCAGACCGAATGATGAACAACCAGACGAAGGCCGCACGAATACTTGGGGTAGATCTCTCGAGAATCAACAACCTAAGGAAGAACCGAGAGAAAGCTCCAAGCACACATTGACTGTCGTTGCTAGAACTGCAGGACCGGATTCCCTTGAGGCCTATGCCAAGGTCGTTGTAAGGGTCTCTGACGTCAACGATAATCCACCTATTTTCACACAAACGCAATATTCCGCGACGGTACTTGAGGGTAATACTAAAGGAGATTTTGTGGTCAAGGTGAGAATAAGATTGAAAATATATAATCAGTTATTTGTTTTAGTTATCTAATTTATAATCATTTTCATTTTACAGTTATCAGCAAGCGACGCGGATCAAGGATTGAATAGCAGAATACTTTATCATATAGTTGATGGTAATCCAGACAATGCCTTCACTATTAGTCCACCTTACAGTGGCATAGTTCGGACCAACATAGTACTCGATCGTGAGATTCGTGAAAAGTATAGATTAACGATCATTGCAACTGATCAAGGAAACCCACAGTTGACTGGTACAGCAGCTCTTAGCGTCAGAGTAATCGACATCAATGATAACCATCCGACATTTCCTGAGCATAACGTAATCTCCGTGTCTGAAGGTAAGTTTTGCAATAAGAAATTAAGACAGGAAAAAATGTAAAAGGAAAAGATAGAAATTTGGTGACTCGTCGTTTGCTAAGGTAGTCAGCAAGAAATATTTTCTCAGAGATTTATAAGAAGACGAAGGATACCGTGGCCTGTTTCGACACGGCACAGAGCACACAGTGATTAGCTTCTCCCTGTAACCACCCTACACGTATGCTGTAATAGCTTAATTACCTTGCTTTAATTAGCCAATAAAGTGGAGCGTTGGATGTGAGCCAAGTATATACGAGAAGAAATTCGCTGAGAGAGAGAGGGAGAAAGTCTTTTTAACGATTCGACGCGCGCGCACATCTCTTCACTACGAGATGCGAAGAGGTTATTATTAAAGGGGCGAGTTTCCAGCTTTCAGTTAAGCTCAGTGTGTCTTATTACCTTGCACTTTAAATCACAGGACTTGTCCCCAAGATAATTTGTTCGTTGATCGATCGCGTTTATATAATAAACAATTAGAATGAATACTATAAACAAGTTGAAAATAATAATTCATAACACTTGTCCATGAACCCATGTCAATAAATGATGACGTATGACGTGTTACTTATAGTAGTTTTCAAGCTAATCAAATTTACATCGTAACAAGTGAGGCTTAACATTTAGCCGGTAGCAAATTCCACCTTGAATCTATGAGGAAGAACCGATAGTACGTAGTAAGTACGGTTCGGGTTTCAATCGTCGGTCTCGCGTGCACTCGTCTTCACGTGCAGGTCTCTCGAAATCTAGCCGCTCCTATGCAACAGCGACTGCAGGTTAACCGGTCGCAAGGTCGCCCACGCGAAGAGAAAAAGAGACGTTCGTGCTGCAGGACGAAGTGTGCCACGATGATCCCCGTCCCCTAAGAACCTACAGGCAGAAAGAGAAAAAGATATATGTATACATGTACCTATATAGCAAAAGAGCGAGAACAGAGAGAAAGAGTTAAGTTAAAGAGGGACGAAAAGCGTAGAAAGAAAAGGTAGAGAAAGAAGAAGAAGAAGTACCACGAAGTGAGGTGGGAGTAGTGCGCTTTGCTCTCCAAGTATAAAGTTAAGTGGTAAAGGATTTATGCTGGCATTAAAGTCCGACTGTTCGGAACAATCTGCATAACTTAGGGCACGCTGCCGATGCGGGTTTCGTGGCTAACCATTTCTCTCCTTCTTCGACGTCCTCCCTCCCTCCCACCTCTTCCATTCACTTTCCCTCTCCGAAGTTCTTACTTGACGGATACGATTCAATGTTCTCGAACGTGTCCCGATCGAATTTATTTGTAATGTATATACACGAATATCGAGCCGAGTTTGAAACAACCAAATGGTTTATTCAATAGGATTAACAATTCATAAAGTACGGGATAAAAAAATCTAATGGAACATATCGTAGGAGGTGTGGAAGAAAAAAATAAAATCACGTAATAATTCGTTTAAAGTACAAAACCTACCATTCCCTTCGTCATGAAAAATCCTGATAGCGATCTTATAATTCGGATGATCCTTAATTCAAGTCCATGCTAATTGTCGGAACAAGTAAAGGACGCTTCCCCTTCTCCACTCGTTAGGTACCATTCCCTCTTACTCCTTTACTTGTATTTTTTTTTGTTTCTTCAGAACCTTGAAACCTTTCTTCAACATCCAAGAAGAAGCTCGCGCGTTTGTGTACTCTCGCGCGCCGATGGCGTAACGCGAGATTACTATCTAATTTGTATCGCCATAAAACTTGAAGCCGGTGTAAACGAGGCTACCTACCACTTCTGTCCGCGATGCCGTGCCCGATAGAATTTATTTAACACCGCCCGCACTCGTGCACAACGAAAGGGGACACGGAAAAAGAAAAGGATATACCGGTAGCGAGTTAGCGCCGCGGATCTTTTCAGAAAGCCACCTGCAAGAATCCCGTAGAAATGTCACTCGAACGAACGAGGATCTGATTAAGGACCGATTAACAATATTCTCTCTCAACCCCTCTTCGTTCAAAACTTTAACCTTTTTACCCTATCTCATCATATATAATAATTAATAAAAGAAAAATATTATATTCGCTTTTAATTCCCAGTAATTTTCCTCGTTACGATAAAAGATAGAAATTGGATTATTTTTATAGAGGATATTAATTCGCCCAGAGATCGTTCTGCCCCAATGGGAAATATGCTCGATGCGAGGAACATATCGATGAAATCCTTCTTATCCTTTTTAGTTGTTTTCTATCCCTTTCTCTCTCTCTCTCTCAGGATTTCCTTCGAGCGTAAATCCCCAACAACGTCGAGGCGATAATCATTAGGGTCTCTCGAAACGGAAATCGTCTCTATCGCGTCTCGAACGGCTGCTCCGATCTTATGCACATATGTATGTATATATGTATGTAATACCTTTCGCCGATGCGCAACAAGGTCGAATTTGAACGTGGCACGTAGTAATCGTTCTTTATTACCCCGCCCCGGAATAAGAAATTTAATTACCCGTTGCGTTAGAATGAGAGGTGCGGTCGTTGCTTGATAACTCGGAGCCTTGCTCGCGTTCTTGCTCGAAGGCTCTTTGAGGGCCACGTGCACCTATAGCGCAAGCGCGCGACCCTTTTGCCAGGGGAGGATTTAATCAAAGGCATCGATCGATTCCGAAAGTGGCATTGACACGAGATATCGAAACAATGGTAGACCACCGACGAGTAGATTTTCTTCCTTACATGGAACACACCGCGACCATCTTATTCCCATCTTGAGATTTCCGTTCTAGGAAGCTTCGGAAACAGATCCAGGTACTTCCAAGTAATCGAAATTAATTGTATTCGCGTTAGAGTTAAATGGGTCTTTCTAACATCCTCTAAGAACATTCTAAAAAAATATTTGGCTTGATGCTTAAGAGGTTCGTCATTAAACGATCGTTAAAACAAACGATCGTTCGGTATAATCCTCTTTTCTATGTACATATATGTATATACACAGTTATGTACTTACTTACGAGTAGTCTGCTTAGCGTCGAGATTAAAGGCAACGTTTATAATCTTCGCATCGTCTTTCATCGTTTCAATTCTAATACCCGCATTTCGAGAACGTAAATTTTCCACCCTGACAATATCTTTCTCCAGCGTTACGAGTTACGAGGTTGGAGGGGAAATTCAAAAGATTAGTCGATACGTAAGGCACACTCGAAACCGATTTACACGACTTTAACGATCCGCGTTGAAATTTATGAACGGATTCAGCCGCGTGCCAACTAGTTGCCGAGGCCCCCTCGGACACGTCGCGCTCCTACGGAATAATTCTTTCATCGCCGCAGGTGTTGCAAGCCAGTCGATGTTGCTGACTCCACCAAGAGTGTGAACTCTCCTTCGGAATCGAATTCGAATGTCTCGCGATTCAATGTCATCCATTTTCATGTAATTCTTTTACAATCTTCTAAGGTTTGCTTACACTAATACGAAGACTGTCGTACATTTTTATTAAAAATTGAATTATTTATTTATTTATTTAATTATTTATTTAACGAGTATAGGAAAGAGTCGTAAAATTCGATTACACTGTCGAGAAGAATGACGAATAACGAGGAACTTATGAACGGATGTTAATATCGATCGATGAAGAAATTTTTACGAGAATAAACGTCGAAGGCTCGTTACGCGTTTACGAGCCAAGAGAAATTATTACTACTAACCAAAATGGAGAGTCTTTGAAAAAGAGTTAGCTACTCGCGACAACTCCCCTGCGATCTCATTGCTGAGAAATCCATCTCATTCTCTCTAGAGTGCTTCTTCTTTGCACGAGAGCGAGATAAAACGACGCGATAGTAAGAATCCAATGCATTTTAAACGCGACTCCATTGAAGGGAGCTCCTTGCCATCGCAAAATGGCGCCACACGATCTTGTGAAAAGAATAAGAGAATGAAGAAAAACAAGAGAAAAAAGGCCAAGTTGATGCTCGACTTTCGTATCGGAAAAGATCGTCACCGTTGACAATGCGAGACGAAAGATGTCACGCGAATGAATAAAAATCATTTCTTAGTAACCACAACAAAGAATAATAACATTTTCGCGATAACTTCTTAATTGAAAGTCTCTTTGTATACAATATAATATTGTACTTGGATTAAAATGTTTCAATGGTTTCTACTTATTTAAGAATAATTGACTATTGTATAATATACAATGTAGAAATGTATTCGTAATATGAAATTATGAGATAGACTTTAAAATACATTTATATATTCTTACCTTAATCGTAAATAATGTTATTTCTAACAATCTTTTGTATTTGACAGGTACTGCAGTAGGAAGCGTATTAACGACCATGACAGCGAACGACGTGGACAGTTCACCTGCATTGATTTATCGCTTTAGCAATACAACGGATCCTGGTCCGTTCAGCATCGACAGATATGGTGGGAAAGTTATTTTACGAAAACCATTGGACGCAGAAAGAAAATTCGAATATACTTTAAGAGTAATTGCAAGCGATGGAATACACGAGGCAACAACAGATATGACGATACGCGTTGCTGATTTGAACGACAACGCTCCGAGATTTCAACAAACTGCCTACGTTGCTACACTCTCAGGTTGGTATCTAACCTTTATATACAAAGTATAGAAGAACTAAAAGTGAAATAGATAAAAGAATTCTCATCGAATAGGATTTCATTTTATCGCTTCGTCCTTTGATTTATCTCAAAATGATGCTTTTTCGAGATTACCCACGGCCTTCTTCTTATTATTATTCTTCTTCTTCTTCTCTAGCTGCCATATTTACTATAGTTGGACCGTATCTTGTTCAGAGTTCAATGTTATATCATCCGATAGCCTTTGTCGACCGTAAAGATCATAAGATTTTCTCAGATACATCGGCGATTCGATTCCAGTAAATTGTTCTACTACTCTTTCTATTTTCTTTCTCTTTTATCGATGATAGAACAATGTGAGAAAGTTTCATTGCTTTTTAGTTGGCGTACAATTGCATTTATCTCGGTACACGATAACAAGAGATCAACGATTAATTGTCAAAGGACAATCCCTTTTCCCCCATTAATATAATAGTTTATGAAAATGATTGGTACTTAAATATCTTCTGCTGTTTCGCGTGATTATTCGCGATCTTCCAAAGACAAGGAAATTAAAATAAAAACTATCGATGTTGGTTGGAGAAGAAGAAAAAAAACAAACTCGCAGCTTGATAACCGAGCCAAAGATTTCAGCTTGCTTTTGCATGTATTATTTTGCCGTTGAAGGACGAGGAAGAAGTAAGAGAGAAAGATGAAAAATGAAGAGAAAGAAAGAGAGAGAGAGAGAAAGAGAAACTTGGAACGAGCCCCCTCGGTGCGAAATAAACGCGCGTTTAAAAACTGGTTTTTAGTAGACACGCGTTGTCCTGTTGCCCGTGTTCCAAACTCGAATTGACACCGCGCCGAGATAAAGCGCGCAAAGAAGAAGAGGGAGAAGAGAAAGAAAAAGAATGAGAGAGAGAGAGAGAGAGAAAGCGATGAAAAGCTAGCTGCAAAAGAGAGAAGAGGATTGTCAAGGGGGGAAAGGAATAATGTGGGGTGAGGCGGTGGATTGCAAACGCCTCGCACATAAATAAACGCGGGGACACCGTTTGCGAGGCAGCCGAAAAGCCGCCTTCGTTCCAACCACCGGCCGAGATCGCCGGCTTCGAAGTCTTTCGAAACTTATTAAAAATACATAGGGCCAAGCCTAATGGTGTATTTGCTTGCCGGAGAATGGGAAACAGGGTGAAATCCGATTGGCAGAAGGATTCTCTCTAGAAGAACATGTTTTTGGACGATCTTACGAATTTACATCTTATTTTTTTCTTCTTTTTACACATCGTGAATTCGTGACACAAATAAAAAAATGTCTGCATAGATAAATATAATACAACATTTTAAAAATAATGTTACAATCGCGTTGTGTTCTCTCGACGAGATGAAACTGAAGGAACACATTCGTGTATGTATGTGAGAAAAGTTGGGATGGTCACGTGATACAATGAGAGAATTTGCAAAGCGGGTTCTTGTCCGGGGATCTTACGCACTCGGCAATAATTATACGGTCCGTCCCTCTCGAAAGGGTTTAAAGTCCCTTTTGCCATCTCGCGTTGTTCGAGGTCGTCCTACCACCTCACCTCCGAACATCCCCCAAAGGGCAACCGCGAGCTTTATATGCTCCTTATTTCCGATCCTACCAACCTTCCTACCTTCCTCCTTCTCCTTGGCCTCTCGCTTTACGCCGCGGCTTGGCACATTAATGCCGAGTTATCCGACGATTTGAAACGCATCGAAATGATTTTTGTGCGCACGGGGCCCTGGTCAGGCCCAGGGCTCCGCCGAGCGATTTATATAACTGGTTATTATTTCATACTTCCGTTCGGTCCGATGTCAGGACGGCTTATCCTCCTCCTTCGTCGGGAACGAGCCAAAGAAGAAGAAGAGGAAAAAGATGAAGAGGTGGAGGAGGACGTAGCTGGAAGAAGAAGAGCCTAAGGGTACTTGACCTCGACGCGCGTGATCTCTCGATCCTCTCTCGAGAACTCTTTTCGAGAGGTCCCGCGGCCTCCTACGATTCGATAATCGATTCTCACCGAGTGCGACGCAAACGTTTCTTTCTCTCTTCTACCTTATAAAGCTTTTCGGTGTCGCCAAGACCCACACTCAGTAGAAGAAGAAGAAGAAGAAGAAGAAGAAGAAGAAGAAGAAGAAGAAGAAGAAGAAGAAGAAATCGCGTCCCATGTCCGACGCGACAATAATTACGTGCTGGAAAATTTATTATCGGATCTCCCGAGCGTCATTCGCGTGAATTATCGTCTTTCGGGTTCTTGAGAATGTTTCTCTCTCTCTTTAACTCTTACTCATTCTCAAAACGTCTTAAACGACCAATAGAATATGTTTTCTAATGGAGCGGATTGGGTAGACCGAAATAAAAAATATTATTCTCTCTTTCTTTCTTTCTTCCTTGGTCTAATACGCATTGCACTTAGCATGGCTAATTTAATGCGTGGGTGACGCCATGAAACTTGCGTTGTGATTACAGTTACACGCTTTGTTCACGTTTGTTTAACTCCTTCTTTTATGTTTCCTGTAGAAGGACACGGTGGACTGCAAGAAATACTCACGGTCAACGCTACAGACGACGATTTCACGGAAGACAATAGTAGAATACGATATTATCTTTTACAACCTGTCAAGGGTTTCACCGTTCATCCAAGTACTGGTGTATTGACAGTTAATCGTACAGCAATACCAAGACCATTACCAAAAGAAGTAGAACTGACGATTGTGGCCGAAGATCATGGCAAACCATCGGCTTCAGCGACTTGTTCCGTCGTTGTAAGACTCAGCAGTCTTAAGAACACTTTACCTGGACGAGAATACAAAATCAATGCGAAGGAGAACTCATCGAGAGGCAAGACTTTGATGAGATTATCGGATGTCGATCTTTTGGACGGTGCTATCGTCGCTGGCGACGAGACTGGAGTTTTCGAAGTGTCCAGAGGAAGATTGATCTTGGCTAAATCGCTTGATCGAGAAACGAAAGACATGTGAGTATTATATTTCCTTTTTTTCTTTTACTATTATTTCACCAACTAGTTCAATTATTTAAATCTTTCTTTTTTTGGTTTTTTAGGTATACACTTAAACTTGGTTCGAGGGATGAAAACACAACAATGGGTTCCTTGGTAGGAGATGAACTTGTCACAGTGACAGTTATCGTCGAAGACATAAATGACAATTATCCAAGCTTCCTTGAAGAACTTTATCAAGTTTCGATTAAAGAAGACGCAGCATTTGATAGTACAGTGGCCATGTTACATGCCAAGGATGACGATTTAGCTGGCACCCCAGCAGCCACTTTGACGTATGATATCACGTCAGGAAATGATGCGGGACTCTTTCGTGTTGAGAAAAATACTGGTGCTATTTTGGTTAATGCAACTCTCGACTGCGATTTAGAACCAGAGATTCATAATCTCGTTGTCATGGCATGTGACAGCGATCCTTTGCTACCTCTTTGTGCTTTGGCAAGATTAAGAATTCGTTTGGAAGATGTGAATGATAATTCGCCTAAATTCCCTGTTTCTGAATATTTAGAATTCGTTGGTGAAAATGAGCCAGCTGGTACAATCGTTTTCTTGGCAAGAGCATCCGATCTTGATCGAGGAATATTTGGCTCGTTGAATTATTCGATCGTATCAGCAGCTGCAACTGGATTTTCTGACATCGACGATAGTTGGAAACTTTTTGAAGTTGATGCCAAATCAGGAACTGTTACTACGTGTGCTACGTTTGATTATGAACAACGAAATCGTTATGCGTTTACATTGCGAGCAACTGACATGGGTGGTCGTACGGCAGCAGTAAGAGTTAGAGTGGAGATCGAATCTAGGGATGAGTTCTTCCCTCAATTTACCGAGAAAATGTACAAATTTGGAATTCGAAGTGGTTCTCAGATGATGCCGGGTACTGTGATAGGTCACGTAACTGCTACCGATCGTGACAAGGGACCAGATGGACGAGTGGTTTATCAATTGACATCTCAACATCCTTATTTTAAATTAAATCGAACTACTGGTGCGTTAATTATCAAACAAAAATTAATACATATGGATATGGATGTTGAAGGGTCTTCTAGATTAGTAGTAAGCGCCAGTTCCGGAAGACAAGGTTCTCTGTCGAATAGTACTGTAGTAGAAATCACTTTGGTTGATAACGACAATAACGATTTCAGAGGAGTAAGTGCTACAGCAATACCAAATGATATTGGATCGAATATGGCCGTTGCCGCATCGAACGGTTTACCTGATTGGGCTCTTGGTCTTTTGATAACTTTACTTCTTTTGGTTCTCGCATTTGGCGCTGTATTTTTGTATTTTCACTTGCGAAATCGTCGTCACAAAAAGCCAGGAACAAAGCCAGGTTTAAACGGAGAAAACAACGCCACTGCCTCCAACAGTTATGTGGATCCCAGTGCCTTCGATACTATTCCAATAAGAAGCGTCGTTGGAGTAGGTGGAAACGGAAATGGAGGTTCTGCTGGAGGTGGTGGCGGAGGAGGTGGTGCTTCGTGTCAATTCGCACCACCCAAGTACGATGAGATACCACCTTATGGAACTTCAGGACAATCGGGTCAACAGCAAGCTACATCTGAACTCTCGGGTAGCGATCAATCAGGATCATCGGGACGAGGATCAGCAGAAGACGACGGTGAAGATGAAGAAATAAGAATGATCAACGAGGGACAACAAACGGGAGACTCAGCAAGCGATTTGTCCGTTCACAATACGCAGGAGTATTTAGCGAGGTTAGGTATCGTTGATCCACCAGCTGGTACTCCAAGAAGACCACCAGAAGCTCTTCCTTTAGATAGTCTCCATTTATTTGAAGATGAAGCTGCGACGGAAGCAGACATAGCTACATTAATATACGGAAAAATCGGCGAACCTGGAAGACCTACGTCTGGTCTGGAAGTACCTGGTGGACCCAGCATGAACGGTTCCTTAAGTTCCATTGTTCATAGTGAAGAAGAACTTACTGGGTCTTATAATTGGGATTATCTTTTAGATTGGGGTCCTCAATATCAACCATTAGCTCATGTTTTTGGTGAGATCGCTAGGCTCAAAGACGATGCTGCCAGCGTACAAAGCGGAAATTCTGGTAGTAGTGGTAGAGCCAAGTCTGTACATAAAGCACCACCGCCACCTCTTTTAACTTCTGTTGCCCCAAGATCCTTGGCAGCTCCAGCCTTGGCCAGAGCTATCTTGCCAAGATCACCAATCAGTCACGATGCTTCCACATTCCCTTCGGCAGCTCTAAGTCCAAGTTTCTCACCATCCTTGTCACCATTGGCTACTAGGAGTCCAAGTATCAGTCCTTTAGTTCCACCTACAACGCAGAGAGCCAGTCAAAGTGCCAATAGAGGTATCCCCGTTACCAACACTGAATTAAGGATCTAAATTAATTACTTTCTAAATTTGTGTGGAATAATATTAGTATTGTTATATTGTATATTTAAAGTTTAATGGCTAATGGCTGTTTTCATCGAAATCAATAACTTTATAGAAAGACAGTGTAAAGGAACATTTGTATACTAATTAATTTGAACAATTGCTGGAGACTCTTCGTTAAAACAGATCAAACGTGATAGTTTCGTATTGATTATTGGGTGCTGTTGGATAACGAAGATTGTATCACGAGTGAAATGTTTTTAAGTGAATGAATGTGTTTTTTAACTCCTTGTATGAATAATACATAATTTCTAATCGAATGTAATAGAATTTTGTTATTATAAAATATTGTAATTTAAAAAAGGAGTTTAAACATTTTCTTCAACGTTACTGTTTTCCGTTTAAATGAACTTGTATTTAAAATGTAAAAGAAGAATCTCTTTAGTAGATAATAATTTATAGATTTTTATTCGTAAAATCATGTATGTTCGACGACAAAAAAACAAACAAAATAAAAACTGGATGTGTTGTATGAATGTAAATCTGATGATAAAGAGAATACGCGCGAGAAGAAGACTGATCGCATTTTAAAAAGAGTTCTCAATAAGATTGTATTAATGTATAATAATTATCTCGATCGATAGTATAATAATAAAAAAAAGATAATAATACTCGTGCGAATATTGTAAATACGATAAATAGTATAAACGTTTAAGTAGACGTGTAAATAATTAATTCAATCGACGAAATCGTAACGAACTCGCCGTTATAATCAAAAACAAAAAAAAACAAAAAATATGAATTTCAAACAAAAGGTCTAGAGACTGTTTGTAAAATAGAACAAATAAGAAAAGAAGAAAAAAATTACGATCACAACGCGTTGAACGAAAATTAATTACGCTTTTGTACAGTTAAAACTAAATTCTTGTAATAATTTTTAATTATTTCTATAACGTAGAGTTCAAAATTCAAAATCGGTAGCGTATTTTTTCGTCGAACTCGTTGTGCTCGTTCGCATAATCGATTTAATGAAAACTAACGCATTGTCGTGATCGTACTGATCGCTATTAATTAAATATTCGCGACAATGTAACCTCCAAAAGCATCCCTTTTTTTCTTTTAATATCTCTTTTTGTTCATTTCTTTTCTCTCTCCCTCTATTTCTCTTTTCTTTATTTTTCTCTCATCCGGTTCTTGAAAAAAATCTCGATGTAACGAGAACCGGTTGTTTCATCTTGTTCAAGTAAATGAATATACATACTCATCAGCGAATATAGATAATTTCATATTTTGTATAAAAACAAACGTTCTCTCATTCCATTGTACAAAGACTCTTCCGAGCCGAAAAAGGGCCTACTTCATGGTGGGCTTTAATTAAATGAATTTTTTAACAAAAAAGAACACAATCACTTGTACTTACTTTCCTATTATCATCACAGACCCCTTCCATTTTCAATTAAAGGAGATTTAAACTTTTTCAAAGAAGTCACCACTACTAATTGATGAAAACAATAGGTGAAGACAAGGTAAAGGATTAATTAACAATCATCAATTTCTCCACGTACAAACCTGTATTTTATTATACAACACGTTAAGATGTTATATCTATATATTAACACGTAGTCTTTGAATATCTTGATAATTTGATAATAATTACTTATTTATTTATTTTTATTTTTGTTCCTGTTGTTGTTGTTATAGTTGTTGTTGTAGTTTTTGCGTTTAGTATGTTACTTTTAAATTATTCATTTTAAGAACACAGACAGAACGAAATTTGTTCTTTCATATATATATATATATATATATATATATATATATATATATATATATATATATATATATNTATATGTATATATTATTAAGGTATACTGCACGCGAGCTTAAAAGGAATCATGTCCGATAATAATCTTGTAATCTGAACACGTTTTGTTTGAATTAAAACGTGCAAAATGTTATTTAAATATGTGTGTTTATAAGAATTCAAATGAAGAAATCGATCGAGATCGGAACACCGGTTTTATTTATATCTAAAATTATTTTCGAAGCTTTCGTAACGTGTGACAAAAAAAAAAGAAGTGATCATTGGTCTCTAATCAATACCGTGTACACCGGTAAAGCGTTTGTTTTTTTTTTTTTTTTTTTCTTTATAATAGTACAAATCGAGTTGGCCAGCTTGCATGAAAGAGTTATTCACCAAAAAATTCAAAATAAAATAAAGAAAAAGTAAAAGAAAAAAAAAGGAAAAAGAAAAGTGAAACTCGTCTCGTTTGAAAAATTCATACGAAATTGAAACAACGTACGTACCACCTACGTAAATGCTACGTACTCGAAATATTTTGTACATTGAAACAGCCTCTACGATAAAACACGTATCGACCTACCTATTTAACTTGTCTAAACTTAGCGAAACCTTATAGGAATCGTTTACCCATAATAATACATTATGCCGATGAAAAAGACGATAATATTTATCGTATGGCGTGTCCAGTCTTGATTATCGGTCCCACCGAAATGGGGACCTAACTAATTAACTTTCTTCCTTTCTTTCTCTCCCTCTCTATCATACTCTCTTTCACTTTCACTCTAAACCCTTTCGCTCCATTTCTCTCACTCTCTCTCTCTCTCTCTTTCTCTCTTTCTCTCTTTCTCTCTTTTTAACATCGAGATAAAAATTGCAATGGTATTTTCTGTTCTCGGACGAAATACTAACGACACTTTTCCTTCCTCGATATAACTCGTGAACGATGATAAAAGTGGGATGCATATGTTGCTGGTTTTGTTCTCTTTCTTTTTTTTCCTTCCATTCGTTTAATCATTGTATGTGTGTGTTTATATATATATATATGTATGTATATATATATAATATATATATATATATATGTTTGTAGTGTATATATATACTTGGAAGGCGAGCTGTCTTATATATATACTGTGGAACACTCTAATTACAAAAGTGAGACAGAATAATTATTATCTTGATTGATCGTTGTTCATCGCATTCGTCGCTCGCGAAAAGTTCCAACTGATATGAACAACTTTTTAATCTTTTGAGGAGACTTCATTACTATCTTTTTCAATTTTTTTCTCGTCGATTAATTTACTTATATTATATTTATTAAAAAGTATCCTCTTATTTTTTCCACTCGTTTTCATTCCAAATCGATACTCGCAAGTTTTTACCCCCAGACCCCTTTCTCACCCCCGAAAGTTAATCGAGGATTATAAAGGGTCTCGAAAATGATAGTTAACGCTTTATACGATTAACCCTCTCGTGTTAATTTGACAAACAATTAAACGCGAAACGCGCGATATGACGTTTTATACCTGTATCAGTATTATTTTGAAATCCTCACTTCTCTTCTTATCTAACTCGTCGCACAAAAATCGATTTTAATTTCGATTCAAAAATCCTACACATAATCGACGAGAATGTAAAAAAGTCAACAACGTTTGTGTCCTTTTTGCGATACTTTCTTTCTTTCTTTTTTGTAATCAATTATTTGTTTCTTTTTTTTTTTCTTTTTGATTATCATCATGTACCTTTACTTTTCTTCTGTTTCTTTCATTTTTTGTTTTTACTTTTTTTGTTTTTTATTATACAAGCATCGAATCGTCATAGCCAATGACGCGAACACTACGAGAAAAAGAATAAAAATAAAAGCTAGGCTAACTCTTTTCTTCCTTTCTTTCTTTCTTTCTTTTCTTCTTTCTTTCTTTCTTTTTCTTATTGGTGATAAGAAACAACGACGTCATTTCGTCTTTGCATAAACACCTCGTAGCACCTTTTGCTTATTTTTGTTTTTTTCTCTTACACGACTAGCAGCGCATCGCGGATATGTAATTATACTTAATTACAACGAACTTTGTTTAATATCTTAAGATATCTACGTATAATCCCATCTAATGTGGTGCATTATTCTTTTATAATCATCATCATTATTTTCATCCCCCCCTAAATGGGGAATGAAAATACGATTGAATAATTTGTAATTGCTAAAAACTATCGGACGAGGCTTGTATTTGTTTAATGCATTTTTTTTTATATTATGAATGATTTTTTTTTTGTTTTTTCTTTATGTATTTTTTTTTCTCAAAGGGTTCGATGATGCTAAACACACGTTTAACACGCAGGAAACGCTACTCGTTTAAAATGTACATTTGTGTTTAAATCTTAAATCTCACTCTCTCTTCTCACTAGTTTTCACTTACGATGTCTCACTTACTATAAGTATCACTCGCGATGAAATTTTTCTTGTTTATTAATTTGGTTATTGTTGTTTTGTTGTCTTTTGTTTTTCCTAAAACCACTGACACGATTTCTATCGCGTCATTGGCTAGGATCGATCGATCGATCATCGTACGTCGATGATTTAAAATACAAAGTACTAAGATTAATTATTATTCATCATTCCAAAAACATTTTTCTGTAGGAAAACACATTAATTGTTTTTCTGTTTTTTTTTGTTTCTCTTCAAAGAATTAATGAATGATGTGTTTGTGTGTTGTTAAAACGTTAATGAAAATTAATACATCTCAACGACGCGCATTACTTTCATCGCACCTGATCCGAGGGCGCATCGAAATTAAGGCACCACCATTCGACGATGCGAATGATCACTTGTCAAGTGAGACAGACTAAATATTTTTAGTTTTTTTTTTCGCGTTTAATAATCGACAAGTATATTTTTTTTATTTTCATTTACCTGCAAAATTGTCGATCGTTTTTTTATCGTTCCGAAAACTACCGTTTCTTTCGTAGTAACAAGTACCAATTTTAGTTTAAAAAAAACAAACAAGGAAAGAAGAGGAAAAAAAATAAAAATAAAAAAATATAGAAAGATCTATTAGAGAAAAATAGACAAAAAGAAATAAATAGACGGGAAAACGCACTTTCGTAGTATAACACGAGCGAGATTTTTTTTTTACACGCGAATCGGTGCTCCTATAATAATTTATAGAAGCGCATTTTTTTTAAATCTTTTTTTTAAACTTACGTATCTCAAATATTTTTATTGCTACTCTTGTATCGTAAACGCACGAACGTTTCGATACGATATTGACTCCTTTTCATTTTGTTTTTTAATATTTTGTTCTTTTTTAAAATTGTCTTGCGTTCGAACTTTCTCTTTTTTTTTTTATCTACCTCTCTTTTTTTCCTGGTCGATCGAATCGCAGTCTAAAAACATTGCTCACTTAAACTCTTTCAAAAAATGGAGAAATAGTAAATCCGTGACTTTTCATAGTCATCCAGTGTCCAAGCCGAGTATCTCTGTCGACATTTTCTTTCTTTTTGGGGGATTGAAAAGTTGGTAACTCTAGTTTAATAAAATTAAATGAAAAATAAATGAAAGGGGGAAAATTAAAGGCACTGGTCGTGCCTAATGTTTAACCTCGCCACTGAGAGTTTGTTTTCTCAATCGATCGGCATATCTCGTTGGTATACCGTATTAAATTGTCTTGCGAGATCGGCCATTAGTCAAACGGTCTCCTCCGTTACACTTCGTGGTATTGGTAGTACGCTGATGCTAAAAACAAACCAAAAAGACAAATATTTCAATGTTTAATAAAGTCTTAAAGAAACACTTTTGATAACAAAGTTAAAACTAAATAGCAAAATTGTTTCCTGATATGAAACAAAACATCTAATGCAACAAATGCAAGACCAAAATGAATCGAATGATTCTACATCGTGTGATAATATGTTCTACATTTATATAATTAATCAAATGAAAGAAGGGATTGAAGAGTTTGTACTGTTGGTACTTGTTAGATATTCATCCAACGATCGATCGATCGATTTACAAATAACAAAACGATAAAGCAGACTTTCATTTATAGGCAGAACAAACAATGGTATTTTTCCACGTAGTTCTAGTCTGATCATTGAACTATAACGTGTAAACTGAATGTTCTTACATCATCACCGTATCGACTTATCGTGTTGTATGTATTTTAAAGCATGTTGTGCAATGATTTGCATACAAGCACACGTGGTGGTGGTGAGTCGAGTTCGAGACTCGTTTTATGAATCGCGTTACATTACCATCGACCTATTATTATTTATGCAATCTGCGATGTAATCAACGACTCTCCAGTTAGAAATAAAAGCGTATTAGAGGATGGTTTGATGATTTAATAAGCATCTGATTTTTAAATGAAAAAAAAAAAGTACTAATCGACAAGCTTGAATAAGTCGATTGGATTTGCAAAGCGAATGTCGTTAATGAGCATATAAAGTGATAGCCTAGCCCTACCAACAAGTTAGTTTACTTGGCGATGCCGGCTATCCTCGTGTCGTCTTGCATTTCAACGACGATAGTATCAGGATCGGGTACCCTGTTAGCCGAGATGCATCCATTGGCTAAGGTTGTGGGCAGTACTGTTTCAGACTTAAAGAAACATCACAAATACCAGTTAGTAATGATACTTAAATATATAATATTGTAATTACCTAACATTTATTGTAACCTACCTGATAAGCTGCTGCATCCAATGCCATTAATTCTTTTTTAGACAATTGTTCTACTACAGCAGCAGCATAACAATCTCCTAACATATTATTGGTCGTTCTTATACGATCTCTGTAAAACATAGTTTGTATAGATTATGTTGAATCGTTGACGATGATATCTATATGCAAATATTACAAGAAAAAACTTACACAAACCAATCGATAGCAAAGAGAAGAGAAACGTCATGAACAGGTGCGTCAATGGCACTCAAAACAACTAGTAGTAAAACTAGAGCTGCACTTGGAACCGAAGCTGAAGAAACGGATGCTGCTGTGGATGTCAAACTACGAAAAAAAGAACAAATTAATTTTTTATGACTAGTTGATTAAAAATTACTTAATAATAAATAAACTTACATAACAGTAATGATCTCCCCGAAACCCAAAATAATCCCGTTCATCTGAGCGATGAAGATACTTGCAACCGCGACGAAGAGTGCGGTTCCGTCCATATTGATGTTGCACCCAATCGGGAGGACGAATCTGGTGACTCTGGGATCGACCCTGAGCTTCTCGGTCATCAGTCGAAAAGTAACGGGGAGTGCGGCGGCCCTGTACAAAGCTATGTTAGAAAAACACCAGGCCAACGTTCTCGTTTTTAATAAAAAAGGATAAATCCGCATGCCCCAGGGTTGACTGCCGATAAGGATCATTCTGGCGTTAAATAAGAGATCTTTTTTTATCGATTAAAAGAATTACTTTCTTTCTAAACGATAGAAATATTTTAGAAATGTATAGTATCATCGTATTATTACATATGCATCTATATAGATAATATTATACGAAATGATTGAATTGGCAGTAATAATAGTAATGATAACAATACGGAGAGGTCATTTCATGCTCACGAAACCGAATGATATGCAAAACGAGTTGACTAAGACTCGTTCATCTAATATCTTTTTCATTTCTAAACGTACGAACGGGAGAAGGATCGAGAGACATCAGAGAATCTATCAAGGACAGCCAGAATGACCGTGACGAAGAACTGAAAATCAAGCGGCATTAATCACGGATTATGATCGAGGTGGCCTGCTAATCGATCCAATTTCCAAGTTGACGTTGAAGTTCATTCAATCTGTAACAGACAATTGTATGTACCTTCATCTGCGGCCATTAAATACTTACCAAGGGCCACCCTCGGTCACTCTCTCTCTCTCTCTCTCTCTCTCTTTCTCTTTTTGTTAGTGTCAACCACCTGCAAAAGGCCGCGTGCAGCGCGTGTTCTAATACATCATCATGATATTCATATAGTCTTTGTTCAGATACACTGATAACTCAGTGTCTCACAGTGTCACAGTGTACGCACAGTTGTGTACGATTCTTTTCTGGAAAAAGTTAATCCACAGAGAAAACAGGTTGAATTAGAGATATGCACTATCGATGAATCGACGTTAACGATGATTATGTCTGAGTGATTAAGGTCCAGGGTGAGGGAGAGAGGAACCAAGGAAAGCTGGAGATCGACCGCTCTGGTTAAACCACAGATTTCCATCGGAGACACTTTGTCTTATTAGGCTGGTAGAAATGAATTCGTGGATTGACGTAGAAATGGTATTTAGAAAAGTGTTTTTTTAGATCTTTACCGAACGATTCTAAATTTACATTAATTTTCGAATCTCGATCGAAGGAAGAACATTTCGAAATAACACTTACAATTTTAGGTTCGAAGAAGGAAAACCGGATTTAATAATATTTTTACGAAACAAATGAAGAGACTTTACGTGTAACACGATTCGTTAATGAAATATTGAAAACATTAAATAATATTTAATATTGATTTTCTTCATAGAAGATTAATGAAATTCTTTTTCTGCGCACCTTTTAATATAAAAGTAATTCTACGTCAGCAATTTGGGAAGGTGGATAGGTTATTGAACTGGAAAAATGATCGTTGCTTCGCGCGATCCGCACAAATGAATGATCGAGATGTAAAATATAATGATCGCACGTGGTCCAGCAGCTCTCGCCAGTCAAGGACGTCCCCGTCAAACCTGGAAGAGCGGGCTCGGCGCAAACAACCAATATTTTTCCAGTTCCTCTAGAAAAATTGTACAAAATGCTAATACTTAGCTAAATAAACGATGAAGATATTATCAAACGTGGAGCCCTCCTCGAGAAGATATTCGAGGAAGCTTCCACGTCACAAATCAGTCCAGGTGACACGGAGTCAGCCGATTTCCGGTTCAAACGACATTAACAATTTTCCTGAAGAGTTCCACCATAATAATATTAAACCTATATGAAAAATGTATTTTTATGCGCGTTACGTGGAAATCTTTCACTCCGTTTTTCCACTCGAACTTCCATAATTTAAAATCGATGGAATTGATCGGAGGAAGTTGGAGTCACGGAGTATCAGGTACCGGTAGTAATCCACATCCTAAGTGCCACCCGGAACTGCATACCTCTCTCCCTTTCTCTCTCTCTCTCTCTCTTTCTCACTTTTTCATGGGGCATGACGAGCTCTCCTCGCGAACAACGCGATAACAATAGAGAGATTGTGTAAAATGTTCTAGGAAGGATGGGAAAGGAGAATTATCACACGGCTAGAATTATACAACGTTTTGTCGATATGAAAGAAAAAAAAAAGAAAAAAAAATACAAACCTAATTGACAAAAGACGTTTTCCGCAAAAAAGGGAAACGATAATTGCAATGACGATAAGATAAAAAATAATACATCTGTTAAACGCCGTATAAATCTCAGGGCCAAATTTTAGGAAATAGGATTCGGGGACCACGGCCTCGTAAAGCCACTCCACTCGGCTGGCTGAAACACATTGTTTCTATAAAAAATCGATTCAAGTCGTTTCGACACGCCCTTCCGTTTCTCGAAAACGTTCACTGTCTTCACGTCGTCATCGGTATATCGTGCGCGTGCAGATTTAATAGGACGATCACCATCACGTAAGAGAGTCACATATGATAAATAGATTACAAAAATTATATTGACAAAGACGATGGGAAAATGATATTTTTTTTTTGTAATGTTGGGAAGAGAAGAAACTGATATTTTTCTGAAGTTCTTTCTGTTCTCTTAAATGATGCAAGGAAACAGAAAAGAAAAAGAAAAGTGGAGAAACAGGATCGAAATCGACAATGACGATGACGACCGAGGCCCCTTAAGGCAGGCGTGATGGGTTCTCTGAAGGTCGGGCTGGGATTCGAAGGTCGACGACTCACGTTGATGCCATGGCGAAGGCGGTGAGTGTACCCTGGGCGAGGCCGGCGTAGAATCTAAAGGGGTTCTTTCTCACGACGGCCAGGTAGATCAACTGCATCACCACCAGCTGATAGAAAAAGACACCGATCACGATCGTGACGATGAACCAGGCTAGCTGCGACATTACCAGCGCCAGATCATTCACACCGAGGACTTTCCCTGCTATTACCGAAGTTATACCTATCGGTGTCATCCTGTTTAATCAAAATCATTTTAATTAATAATTTCATTTCAATTGAATTTTTTTTCTTGTTTTTTTTTTTTTTCTAAGATTTACATACCACATTACAGTGGAGACCATTCGCATAATGACCTCGAAAACAGCCTTGAAGAAATCTATCACAACCTGACCCTTTTCACCAAGGGTACCTAGGAAAGTGCCAAAGACTAGACAAAAGAAGACGATGCCTAAAGTATTGGTACCACTTCTATATTGGATCACTCTTATCAGGTCTTCTTCGCCGACTACTTTGACCGACAAACCATCGGTTTGATTTTGTACCGGTGGTTTTCTTGGTACATAAACGGTATGTGCCTTTAAAACAATATCCATTATCATTACCACATTCACATCTTTTGATTTATTTTTCATGAAAATAAATAAAGTAGATTCTTTTTACCTGTTGAAATGCAGCTTGAAAGAGGTTGTCAGGAAACATGTTCCTAAAAATAAAAGCATAAAAAACTATTGAATTAAATGACGTCTCTACACCCAAGTAGCGTTTCTATAAAGAGGACACTTTACGATTCGAAGACTTTGAACAAAACGTTTAGCAGTGCCGCCCATATGACGAAAGATACCACGGACAAGGAAAAAGTGTACTTCGCGCATGAATAAATCACGCACGATCGATGCACATCTATTTTGGTCTCTTGGTTAGTAAATGTAGTGGTATTCGTGATCACAATGACTGTTCTTCGTTTTAATAGTTTTGGCGATCGTGAAACCGAGCGACCTTAATCCTTCAACTTAAAAGCTACGATATTTCAACTTTTTCCCACTTTTTCTATTTTCTTACGTGTTAAATCTTCCATTACTCAACACCTACGACTGTTTTCACGCAATAAACCCGTGTTTTATTTTGGTTAAAAATAAACAAGCTTATCGTATAACAGAAATAAAAGAACGAAATAAAGAATTTATTAGAAATGGAAATGAAATTTATCGACTCCTACGTCTTGGAAAATGTCAGAATGGAAGATAAAAGTAGGACTGTTGTTCATTACCTTCCTAAATCCAGAAGGCTGTCTAAGATGTTGACGGCTCTGGCGTGAGTCGGAAGTGTAATCGATTCCCTGATTCCTGGATTTCCAGGATGAATAACAAGAACAAGGATAACTCCTATTACGGCGTTAAGGAAAGACGTGAGTATGAAATAGACAAGAGTTCGTACGGCTATCATTCCGTTCATCCTAGCGTTCAAACTGGCTGAACCTTTCAAATGAAATAAAAAAAAATATATTTAATAAATAATATTAAATGTATTACTTTGTTGTTGTTGTTTTAAATATATCAATAAAACTTACCTGATATGAGGCTAGCAATTACCAACGGTAGAATCATTAATTTCAGTATTCGCATAAAAAGTTCTCCAGGATAGCTGATCAACATGACAGCGTCTTCGCTAAGGCCCAATGGTCGCAAACCAAATCCTGTAATTATAAAAAATCATTTGTAATGGAAGATACATAGTAACATGGTAAAAATAAATTTCAAAAGAAATTAACCAACTTCTTTTAGATTGAAGTATCTACCTATCGAGATAATTATATCTCTAATTGAATAAAGTTTTTTTTTTTAAATGTAAGATGTTAATTGGTAGAAAGTATTGGTGTACGTTTCATTGTATTTAAATAATAAAAGTTAATAAGATGTACTAAGAAGCTCGTCAAAAATAAGACATTTGATAAATGGAATAATCTTTGAACGAAATGAAAGGATTACCGAAAAAAACGTAGGTGTAAGTGCACTACGTGCATTCTATATGGATTCTAATTCGATATAATATTAAGAAGAAATGGAAACCGTCCTTGAACCTTTCCAAAGGGTCATGTTAAAGATACGAGTTTAAGTAAGATCGAGTTTCGGTAGGAAAAATTAATTAGATGAGACTTTTGAAGGAAACCTCTCGTAGATGATTGACACCTTTTAACGAGATAATGTGACAACGACTAAAGTTTTACGTAACGAATACGGTAATTTCAAACTGGGTCGTCAATAACGTACACACGTAATCAATTTCACCCCCGTCCTATTCGTCCGACACACAGACACATGTTAGAATAGTATTTCTTTTTCTTATGAACATAATCATCGAGAATTTTTCACTACGTTCTCGTTGGCACGAATTCTTATGAAATTCACGATCGATATTACGAAGATGACTCGACGAGCATCGTAGATATGAAAATTAACGAGTAAAAGCCTTGAAGATACGACGAAACGTTTCTATGTATAACTGTTTTTAAAGTGCAACGTGTGTGTGACGTTTCTCTTTTATTATTATTATTAAATTATGATAATAATTTGTTCTACAATTTCGTTTGTATATTTATGAAATTTATAAACTTTAAAAAATTGGTTCTTTTCTTCCTTTTCTCTCGTATAAAAGTAATTAAATATTATTGAATAGAATCATTTGAAAGCGTATAATCGAACGTGTTAGTCTTCCTTACGGATGAAATAAACTTGGAAAATAATTAGCTAAATAAATTTGACTGAATTCTCTTCTCAATGTCTATATTACATGTACCTTTGTAAGTAAAATCTATATCGTTGACGTGGAAATATAAAATATAACTCTCATAAACTTAAGCTTTATTGATCGACGCAAATACCGACTATGCGATATTCTTTGCATAATTATCTTTGTAAAATATACTTTCTCTATTTTCTACGAAAATAGCTCACAAGAGATTATAGTAAGCTTTGATTTGTAATTTAATTTAATATTTATGAACATTCTAGCGACGAAAATCTGATGTCATCGGGTATTGAATTATCAACGAGACCCACGTTGTTTTATTATGAGCTTTCTGTCTTACACTTGATTCATGATCACCAATAATAATAAGAAAAAAAAAATAAAAAAACATTCTTTCTAATAATACAAAATTGATACCATTAAAGATGACAACTAAACGATACTCGTATTATTCAGTTTCTCGAATTATGGCTCAGAAATATATTGTCATTAAAATCGTATCGAAGATACAAAGAACATTAAAGTAAGAGTCCACGTGATAAATCGTTTTTACGATATGCCAAGAGCAGCTATATGCCAAGAGAACCAAGGCCAACAGAAATATAAAGAACGGTGTACATATGATCAATCATGAAGAAAAAAGAAAGAAAAGGTAGAAATAAAAATGAGAGGTGTTCCACTATGTACAATAACGATAAGTATCTGTTGTTTGCTTTAACACACTGTAACGAACTCGATCGAATGCAAAGAAAACATACGAATGCCAATGATAAAATAGTTCATTATTTGGTCATAGATGTACACGTCATTTTCAATAATAATAATAATAACAGTAAAAATACAAAAAATATTGGTGGATATAGCCCGTGAACTTTATCAAATCAAATAGTAGATAGGATCGATTTTGTATTTTAAAAGACCAATACTTGGAAACGTATTATATTTAGGTATACGATAGACAATTCTTTGTAAAAGAAAGAATATAAAAGCAATGTGGGAATTTGAAAGGACAATAACTTTAATGTATATGTACCCAGGCCGATATTCCCTTCTAGTTCTATAGACAAGCAATTACTTATCGACCATACATTTGCATATATGCACTTGGTACTTGTCTTACTTCAACCTCCATACAATCCATTGATTATCGAGAGTACACGTGTGACACGATAGAACTACGAATGGTTCTATTATTTATTTCAACTTATTTCTTTTAGGAAATAAATTCAAACAATTATTAATTAATCAATAATAATTATTTTGTGAATAAATAAAAATGTAAACATAAAAAATCTTTGAAATATTTTATCCGAGTAAAATAATAAATATCGAATAGAAGATGAAAATTTCGAGAATAGATATGACACGTAGCGTAATAACGAGGTGGCAATTATCGGTTACTTTGGCTTCTATGGTAAATCATTAATTCGCACTTTATCCTGCAAAGTAAAAGCCGTTTGACCCATCCCCATCCAAGGTTTATAAATAAACAAATGCGGTTACTGAGAAAACTGTTAGGGTAAAAGATATGCCTTGTTTTTTTTTAATCCTTTTTTTTTTAATATCAATAAAGACCTATAGCGTGAATAACAAATCAATCAATCAATCTTATCGCGTTATTATTCAAAAATGTATATTATATCCGGTTAAAGCATAAATAAAATATCCTCCTCAGGGATATTTCGTATGCATGATCAATAAATTGATTGAAATGATAAGGATAAATAAATTTGTGGGGTTGGGGGGATACCTACCAAGGATTACACCAAGAAGTACACCTGACAGAGTGATCATAAGCAAGAGATTCTCCCGCATCCACTTCCTAGTGTCGGCGGTCACCTTGCGGGGACCCTGAGAGGCCGAGACGTCCTGCCCGTCCATCTTGGCGAACAGGTACTCCGAGAAGCGCGCCGAGGACTTCTCCTCCATCTCACTTGGCCGCCAACAAGATGCGGCGTAGGAAGCGGTGGTAACGTTTGCGGAGGAGGCAACCGATTCTGCCGTGCTCCCTTCTCGCGATCTCTCGCGGCTAACGGCGGGGCCCCGGCAGCACCACGACAACGACGGGTTGCCGTTTTGGGAGTGTTGAGATAAATCACTGCGGAACGAGCAATCGCGAGCGCCTACCAGACGTCCCAACAGCCTGCCGGGCTTCTCCTTTCCTCTTAACTCGATCGTTGTACTTGAAAGAATATTCGACACCAATATTTTCACCGACTTCAAATCGTCTTTTTCCTTATTCTCCCTTTTTATTTATTGGATTTATTTGTAATCTTCTTTTTTATTATAGAGAATAGGATTGAATCCTCTCCGAGAAAAGAGAGGGAGTGTGAGAGTGTCTGTCTGTGTGTGTGAGAGACAGATATAAAGAAATACAGACACGAATCGATGTCGTTCTCGATTAATATCACTAATAATACTTTCGTCAATAAATATTTATTTCTTTTTGGATATTTAGTCAAGGAACAAGTTGTATAGTTTTCAAGTGATCTCCTCCTTCACGTTAGAAGCTTTACGATAGGATCGAGAGAATTGCCACTGTTGCACAGGGTCAGTTACCTTCGTGATACCTGCTCGACACCCTCTACCAACGATATCACCCTTCCACCCCCTTCTCTTGTATTCACAGAACTATGATTCAAAAGGTGGTTCCGCCTTCCTTCCTTCCTTCCTTCCTTCCTTCCTTCCTTCCTTCCTTCCTTCCTTCCTCTTGCTTTCTTTCTTTTTTCTTTCTATATTTCCTCTTATCTTCCCTTGATGTGCAATTTACGTCGCTCAACTTTCTTCTTTTCTGTTTTCACTGGTAATTATTTAAATTTCTGGTACGAGGTCGATCCTTGTTTATGACCTTCGACCGAAATGGACCCTCCTGATGACGACTATGCTGCTGACGTAGTAACGTTGTTGATCTTGCACTAGCTTCGATGCGATACTTGCAAAGGATGAGCCCCGACTGGGCCGGTTACCGGCGGACATTGCCGTATTGATTTCCCTGACGACCCTTTCTGTCTTCTCTCACCCTCTTTCCATCCTTCTCTTACTCCCTATCGTGAGCTTTAGCAAACAGGCGCATGTGCGAACTCAGACCGCCTAACTCGGTCGCGATAGAAAACGAGGATACGTGCCGATGCTGATACCTTTTGCTGCTTGCTTGCTAGCTCGATCGCATGACAGGCGAAAGTGAGATGCTACAAATGGAATGAGAGAAAGCTTCGTCACAAAGGAAACGAGAAAGGGAAGGGAGGATTTAGCCGAAGGGCACAGAAAAGCTTTTCATCTTTCCAATGCGTTATTATTGTTTCGAGCCCTATGCGTCCGTCTGTCGAGAATAAGAAAAAGAGACACGTTTTTCAAGTCATCCCTTTATTTTACTGAATAAAGAAATGATACTACGTTTTCTTTTCATTCTTTTTTTATTTTTTTATTCTTGGTTATCGTCGTCGTCGTGTCGTCGTTGTCCTCGTCGTCATCGTCGTCGTGAGAATCTAAGCCGATGGGAATTATTTCATGAATACTCTACGTACCACTCGTTATTCCACTTTTTTTTGTCGATCTTTGTCTTGACTCGAGTTGTTATGTAATATTTGATATATATATATAATGACCCAATTTTTAATCGTCAAGGTTTCTTTTTAGAATTCAACCCCCTTCCAAAACTACCCTATCCCAATTCGGTTCATGATTAGATTGTATTTTCGGTACAATTATAAACTTTTCAATAGTTATATGCATTTACTTTTTGTTCAACTTTTGAAGTTGTTCTGATTGCCTTTTGGGTATTCTCTTCTGATTAAATGATTATAATTTTATTTTATAAGAAGACGGTGTAATTGTCCCCACTTCTGATTTTTTTTGAATTTTGCAATACTTGTAGTAATCCATGAGAAGTAAGAACAACATTCTGTCAATGCATAAGTCTACGAAAAGTTTAGTCAATGCTCGAATGTATCAAAAAAATTTTTTCAATTTACAAGAATCAAAGAGCTACGAAGAAATTAGTCAATACACGAGTCTACGAAAAGTTCAGTCAATGATCGAATGCACGAAAAAAAATTTTTCAATTTTCGAGAATCAATGAGCTACGAAGAAATTAATCAATGCACGAGTCTACGAAAAGTTCAGTCAATGATCGAATGCACGAAAAAATTTTTTTTGATTTTAGAGAATCAATGAACTACGAAGAAATTAGTCAATGCATGAGTCTACGAAAAGTTCAGTCAATGCTTATTAATAATAGCTAGTACCGCTAGATGGCGGCACATAGTCTATCAAGCAGTAAGATGAAGTAATAGCTAGTAACACTAGATGGCGGCACATAGTCAACCAGACGATAAAATGAAGTAATAGCTAGTACTGTTAGATGGCGGCACATATTTTACCAGTCGATAAATATAATTTACTTTTGTTAAATTATTAAAAATTAATACATTGTAAATCATTTTTATATAATAAAAAAAAAGGAATCTTAATAGTATTATAATACTTAATAATAATTTTTACTTCTAAACATGTTATTGTCTAGATTATTTTTTCTCACTGCAGTTGCATTCTATTTGCATAATAATTCACAGGAAATTTCTACAAAATAGACATGAATTCATATAGATATATAAATTTTTCTGGTCTCAGTCGATTCTCAGGAATGTTTTCAAACTCCCAGTAAGATATACAATAATAAATTTAGTACATGTTAAGAACTGCATATTACAATGTGTTTGCACTTGTTTTCTCAATTTAAAAAAAACAAAGATGCATTACTTGTGCATTTCTATTGATAGAATACTACTACATCTGTTTTTTTCCCAGTGTAAGTATAATAAGTGCAGTGTCTCCAAAAAATTTTCATAGTTGTGGTATGGTTGAATTCTTCTTATCATTGTTGAAAGTAACGAGTAGACACTTCCAGTCAAACAATTTAACATCACTGTTGAAAAAAATCATTAAATTAAGGTTATGAAGAAATATTTCTTAAGAGTAATATAATATTCACTTTTTACAAATATCAGTATATTACATTTACCATTTTACAATTCATAATTTTGATTATTTCTTGACACAACAGCTGCATTCTATTTACATAATAATTCACATAGAATCCCTACAAAGAAAATATTAATTAATACAAATTTATACAATTCATTCATTCATATAAAAACTTGTAGAAAGAAAAAGATTTTGTATAATAATAGAATTTCCTAATATAATGTATTTGCCGTTTGTTTTCTCAATTTGTGATAACTATCAGTCTTCTTTTGTATTTCGAGAAGTAAACATCGTCGGTACGTTCATTCCGTGCTGTTATGATAAAATAATATATACTTTCGATTATTTTTCATTTATTTAAACAATATATAGTTTATATATGTTATTTTAATATGATTTATTAAAATTTAAGCAATGTTATAATTGTTTAAATATTACTTATTTTATTAACATTTTATACCTAATATATTCAGTCGTGTTTACATTGTAGTTTATACTTTTTTTGGTTATGAAGTAAATCGTTATACGAAGTGAGGTGTCATAATAAATTTAGAACCAGTGTTTCTTCTGTCATCGCGTTCAATTTTATTATACAAGAAATTTATCTAAAGTTTTTCTTTTTTTCTTTTGTTTTAATAGTTTCAATTGTCTTATTATTTAGTGTTCTGTTGTTATCATTCATGTGAATTGTGAGTATTTAGTTTTTGTTTAATGTAAGAATTTCATTTTATTTGGTTGAACAAAGGTTAGAATAATACTATTACTTTATTTGGTTGATTAAAGGTTAGAATAATATATACTAATCACATCTGCAATTATTATTACAGATAATTTTGTATTATGTATTATTTTCTATTACAGTTAACCTATTGTGACGACTTGGGATTGTTACAAATGTTTTTAAAACATTGTAAAACTTCTTAAATAGCAAGTATAATGTAATACATTATTATAACCATTTAATCATGTTTAAAATTAAAAGGTTTGAATTTGCATAGATGGTTTGTCGTAATTTTTAATAAAAAAGTAATGAATGATCAAAAGTCAATATTCTAACATTAATATTTGAAAATAAAGATATTACTTTTATAAGTATATGTATTATATATAGTTCTAAAAAGTATTATAACAAATATAAATAATAATAGTATATATATATATATATATATTAACAAAGAAAAATGAGAACTTGGTTAGAGAAATTATTTTAGAATTTATTAAAAAGTTTTTATGAAAGTATAAAAATTGCGTGCATGTAAATAAGTTGACACACTTAACCTCATTTTTTATTAATTAGGTGAAATTGTAAAATAATAATCGTATATAATAATTATAATAATTATTATTAGAAACGGATGCAGGACGAGTGATAGGAGCTTGTCACGTAACAAAAGAGAAAGAAAGAAAAAGAGAAAAAGAAAATCAACAAACGTCCGATTACAGGAAGTGGTGGGCACCCAAGGATAGACATTCGTTCCTGGTTCCTTTCTCCCCTCCATCGTGTCGATCGCCGCGCTACTCACAGATTGAGGTGTGGCCAGTGAGGGCAGCCATTTTCTTGACTTTCTGTCGCTTAAGATTTCAGGTAAATGCGTAATTATTTATCTTTAATAATGTGTCTCGATCGTAGTAATGCGAGAGTGTGTTTGTTGTGTTATTGTGCTCGCGTCCTCGCACCGTGTTGTCCATGAATTAATATGAGTTCGGGGTTATAAGTCTGTGCTTTTAAAATGAGATGAGAGAAAGAGAAAAAAAACTTCACCTACGGATGCCTAGGGAGAAAGAGAGAGAGTGTGTATGTGTGTGTGTGTGTGTGTGTGTGTGTGTGTGTGTGTGTATGCGAGAGAGAGAGAGAGAGAGAGAGAAAGAAAGAAAAAAGACCGAGAAAAAGAAAGAAAGAAAAATCTAAGGGAGTGCCATGCGTTACAAATTAACTTCATGACGGCGAGTCTAAGCTCGATAATAAAAGCAAATTTCTTTTATTTTATTTTCTTTTAATTTTGATTGGTTAACTTTATAAATACGACCAGCAGCAGCAGCATTCAAGCGCACGTCACGTCATGCACGTCACGTCACGTCACATTTTCGAACTGACATTCTTTGGTTATGTCGAAGAAAAAAGATTTCTCTTTCCAACCGATATAGATGATTATTAGTGAATTTTTTCATTGAATGAATTCTCCTTCCTAACCTCGGGGCCTTCAAAGACCCCTGCATCGCTATCTTATCCTGCCTGCCCTGTCGTACCATGCCCCACCCTACCCCACTCCACTCCATCAGTCCACCACTCTATTTCATTCCCATTCCATTCCGACCCACCTCGCCTTTCCTCGCACTCTCACACACACGCAGCGCCCTCACGTCCGGCTTCCCCTTCACTCTTCCCCTCTATCTTTCGTCCTAACTCTCACCGAGCAGCGATGCACATCTTCCATTCGATGAGTGGACTAAGATTTTTTTCCTATAATCATATCTCTACTACGATTAGCTGCTACTCGTCAAAGATTACAATTGACTTTTTACCTTTATCTAATTTAATAATAACTTTTTGCTAATTTGTTTTGTTCCTCAAGTCAAAGGCAGCATTTCGCTATAATAAAAAGGTCGGTATATACTTTGACGTACATTTGAAATATTACGTCGTGATCTCAAACCGTACCGTGGAAAACCCCCTGTGCTTTTTTTTTTGTTTTTCAATTATACTGACTAATCATATCTAGAAACGTTATTTCTACGAATTCATCATTCCATTGCATACGTTCAATTTACATGGTGATTTAATTTTTTTGGTTTTTTTATATTTTTTTTTTATTATTTATTTTTTTTACTTTTTGCAAATAATATATAATGTTCTTCTACCCTGCTCATTATTGAAATTTGTTATTGATTTATATTCTGTTGCTTATACGATAATGAACATAAAGTAATATTATTTGATATGATCATTTAAATTCTTCTTCCAAGGTATCTGTATTGTGCAGTTTTGCATAACTTCTAATGTTTTAAATACAATTGTGTTATATATATATATATATTGTACAAATCAAGTCAGATTTCCTTTTGTCAAGTAATATATCTTCTTATCGTTCAATATCAATACGAATACCTTATTGGTAGTCTGATCTTTTGATGATCTGCAGAAGTCATAGAATAGTATTTATTTCTATTTAATGGTATGGCTATTGCATCACACTATAAGCTTTAACTAAATTAATTGTAAAAATCATCATCCATTATAAGAATGCATACAAATCTATAAGTTTATATTTCATGTTGACGTATAACATTTTAACACTAAAATTAAGATATTTATTACGAAAGGTGTTTCCTGCATACTCTTTTTTATGTGATGGATGGAAGAAAATAAAAATAGATTTTTTAAATTCATATACATATATACGTACATATAATATACTTATCTTGTGTACGCAAAAGACAAGGTCAATTAAAATTCTTCTCATGCAGTCACGTATTAAATACATTTTTCTTTTTATTTCGTTTAGCTTTGGTAAAATATATTATAAAAGTATTTTATTGTATTCTTTAAAATTGTACGCTATCAAATTTATTAACTTTTTAATGTTCTTCATTTTATTTCGTATTTTTTTATTCGTTTTTTTTTTTTTATAAGTAAAGCATACAACGATAAGGCACCCTACATATTTGCAGATATAGTAATGTCTAATGAGAAGTAATGAATAATTCCTGTAGAATTATTTTAAGTATTACAATTAATAATTTATGCAATGCATATGTATATAAAGCAAATGTGTTTTATTATCTAAATATCTGTTGAACAAAATCTATATATTATAAATCATTATCATTAGGATCATTCATAATATACATGATCGATATTGTAACGTTTAATAAGTTTGTAACATATAATATATGCAGTATGAAAGTCTTCTTTAACTTAGGTACGCTTTTCAAATTGTTTTTTTCCAATGAGTATGTTCTGTCCTAATGCATGTTTAACAGATAATATCTTTTGTTTATTTGCATGTAATCTATAAGAATGTCATATTATTTAAATCATAAGGTATTGTCTTTTTATACACATTTTACACATATCATATTCTAGGAAATAAGCCATAGTTAGAAATGTAAAAAATACAATCGTTTAACTTAAAATGATCATATTTCTAAGTCATATACATTGATCTCAACAAAGACTCTACCTTATGTGATTATATAATCTGTTATATGTAACAAAATTTACTATACAATATTATCAACTATTTTTAATTAGTTTCTTTTGAAATCCTATGAAATTAATTTATATAAATATATATATGTGACATTGGAAGGAAAGAGTTAAGAATGTTGATTGCACGATTTAAATATCGAGCAGTGCATTTTCTCATAATAATATTTACACATCATTTTTATTATTATTATTATTATTATTATTATTATTATTATTATTATTATTATTATTATTGTGAAGAAAATATAAATATATTATATAAACAAAAAAAGAAGTATAAAGAAAAGTAAAACACATATTATTTACACAGAAGTATACACAGACAATTTTTGTTGTGTGGAATTTGAGTTAGTCTCACAGCTTCCTACTCATTCTAACATATAAAATGTCCACTTAAAACAGAGACGCTGAAAGAAAGACTAAAAACATGGGATGCAATGCGGGCCGATGCCTCGGTCCAGACGATACGGGGTACCCTGGATCAGGTACGACCCAGTCAATATCCTCTAAAGCTTCAACCCTCGTAGGTTGCTTTTCGAATAGCATTCAAGTAGATATGAGATTAAATATGGAATCTATAGGGAATCTTTACTACAACCATTATGTAAGTAGCTTGCAGTAAACAAAGTTAGAAATGATTATTAGTCGAATATCTTTTAAATGCAAAGTATCGAAAAGGTCCAATGATAGTATTACATATTAGACATTCAGGATAGTTTTGTAATTCATTTAATATATACAATTTAATTATAAATAGATAGTGAATTCAAACTACGAGGTTTGAACTCTAGTCACTGTTTATTATAACAGTTTCAAAAGAGATCAGTAATGTCAAGTTACGCAAGTTCAAAAGTTTACCCTGACTTTTCCTAACTCTATCCTCGAAATTGCTTTTTTAATCTTGTCCATTTTTATTTTATATTATTTTCGTTTACATTTTAACATTATTGCAAATGTGCTGATCTACACATATGTTTTTAGTAATTGCTTACATTTTTTTCTTGTTTTTTGTTTTCTTTTTAAATTATCATAAACAAAAAATATAATGAAATATTAATTTCCCATTTCTTTAGCGATTCTTACGTTTCTATAATTTTTGCATTGTTTTTTTTATATTGATCTATGTTATGTACTTTACAACACATTCATGCTGCATGTTGGTAGATATATTTCTGCTTTTATTATATATTTCTGTTTATAATAGAAGATTGCTAATTTGATATTTTCTTTTTCTTTTTCGCTTGAAAAGAAACTTCTGTTATTTATTTGATCAAAGAACAATTATAGAATTTACATGATAATGATATTTATCAATTTCTATAATTATATAAAATAGTTTCAATTAAAATATTGGATATTTTGAGATGTGTATGTATGCATATGTCAACAATTGATTTATTTAATCAATTAAGAAATGTTTTATGCATATCGGTGCATATTTGCAATGGTCAGCAATCTGTTTGTTGATTTTATAGTTTTACATATCCATATCTAAACACTAAATAATCAGAAATTTTTATGTACAAGTGAAAAACATCTATATATGTATGCATACTAGTCAATTTTAATACAATTGTAATTTATGTATAAATATTGAAACTTATATGTAGTGCATTATTGTACTATATTATTATGAAATGTAATATACAAAATTACAAATCAGTAGCGCATAGGTAAGTTATCGATTAAGCATAGGATTGTTTATAACTAATAAATTGTGGAACACACCGCTCTAAGTTTTTTGCACATTGTTGCTTTAAATGTGCGTATGTCTAGTTTAGAAATACATGTAAATATATATATATATATATATATATATTTATGTCAATAAAGTAAAATTAAATAGTTTTATGTAGAATGTTTTTTATAATTATTATAATTAAAAGATCAAAAAGCTTATAATGGTATAACTAGAAATATATTTTTAAAATTTTAGAATAAAATGGTCTATATTCTGCATAAAACATCATAAATTTTTATTATTATTATTGTTATTATTATTATTATTAATATTATTATTATTATTATGTTCATCAAGCTTTGTACATACACACACACACATATATATATTGTTGTATTATATATTACCAGTAATAAGACAAAAGTAATATGAAATAATTATATAACTTTTTAATTGTGTAGCTTTTTATTTTATACGAAGGCGCAAACTTTGAAATTATTTAAACAGTAAATTATGTAATTATAAAATAAATTAACTATATATTTTCAAACTATTGTTTTTTAAGAATAAAAAAAATCATGTTTATTGAAAATTTGAAACAAAAGTCTGTGCCTATATTATTTTTAATCACGTATATGAATGGACAAACACTTTGCAAGATTGTTACTAACTTATAACGATTTATTCTATCTTGCTTTTTGCATAATTCAAATTGTTACGCAAATTTACAAATTTCGACACTGTTTTTGTACAAAAATAAAGTAGTCCTTAAAAAAGGTCTTAATATATTTATATTAATACTTTTCGAATAAACGTGTATCTTTATTTTAGGATTCATGGCAGCCATTAGGAAGAAGTTAGTTATCGTGGGGGATGGTGCTTGTGGTAAAACATGTTTACTCATAGTATTCAGCAAGGATCAATTCCCCGAAGTATATGTACCCACTGTTTTTGAGAATTATGTTGCTGATATCGAAGTGGATGGTAAGCAGGTATGTTGTCTTAACATAATTCAAATAATTTATTATATAATATTATCGATAACTTCTAATTTATAAAACTGTAATTACAATATGTGTATCTATATGTGTACAGGTTGAACTGGCTCTTTGGGACACAGCTGGGCAAGAAGATTATGATAGATTACGTCCGTTATCATATCCAGACACAGATGTTATTTTGATGTGTTTCTCCATTGATAGTCCTGATTCCCTGGAAAACATTCCTGAGAAATGGACACCAGAGGTGAAACATTTCTGCCCAAATGTGCCCATTATTCTTGTGGGAAATAAAAAAGACTTGCGCAATGATCCCAATACCATCAAAGAGCTTGGAAAAATGAAGCAAGAACCAGTCAAGCCAGAAGAAGGAAGATCCATGGCTGAAAAAATCAATGCCTTTGCATACCTTGAATGTTCTGCCAAGAGCAAGGAAGGAGTCAGGGAAGTTTTCGAGACAGCAACTCGAGCTGCACTTCAAGTGAGCTCATTTTAAATATTATTTCTTATACAAGCATTTATAAGAATGTTAGATATTTTTGTACAGTATAAAAACTTGTTTAATTTATTTACTATTAATTGCTACAATGTTATTTTTCTTAGGTGTTTCATTCTATTTATTACATTATGTAATTAATATGATATATTTCAGGTTAAGAAGAAGAAGAAGGGAAGATGTAGGCTTCTTTAAAATGTAATGTCAGATGGGCCCAAAAAGTGGGTGAAATTATGGAATTGCAAAGCTAGCTGCAATAAAGCTAGTTGTAATACTGGAGGCCCCCAGTGAAGACCATAATATAATAACATCTTTTACCTTTAATTCTTTTACATAATAATCAAATCTACAAACATGTTCACATCAAAGCCACTGAATAACAAATCTTTCATGGTACAGGACTTCTTTAAACTATAATGAAAATATGCTTCAAGTTTGAGCGAGTGAAAGATTGTCATGTCAACTATTTACATTCAAAAAAGAAAAAAAAGCGAAAATAACGTAACTGTTTCATTGTAGTGGCCATTACTGTTAATATTAGTATCATATTACTATTATATGTATACATTCTACTTTTTTTTATACGTATTTGCTCTTCATGTCGATGATAAAACAGAACGAACGAAATTGGGGGAAAAAAATTAATAAGAAATATTAAAAATAATAATAATAATAATAATATTAAACGAAAACAAAATAAAAAAAAATGCAAAAAACCAAAAAAAAAAATATAATACGGAAGAAACTTACATAATATGCAATGCAAAGTTGTAAAACTTTTTAGAGCACTGTAAGAATCTTAAGAGAAGAAAAAGCGTTACAGATTCCAAATGTTACGTCGCTATTTGAAACGAACCATCAATCAATATTTCTTAACAAACAAACAAAAAAAGAAAAAAGGAAAGTAATAAAGCCAACAAACAAACATAAGTAAAGTAGGCGAGCAGATCATTTTCGTCTTTAAGGTACCAGTTAGACTAAATGTATTATTATTATAATATTATTGCTATATTAGTATAATACGACACTAACATAACGGATTGTAACAGCGACTATATTATATTTATGTATTTCGAAAACATCCTTTGTGTTTAATCACGATCATGAACAATGCTTTAGAGATCACACTGTATCTATATGTTAATATGAATCATTCATGCAAAATACAATAACAAATTTATAAGGATCGTATACGAGGAAAGACTACTAACCTGTCACGCGTAATGCTCAATTTTGATTAAAAAATGATTTAGCTTATTTTTTCAATTATTTTTTAAATTTATCAACTTGTACATTTATTTTCTTCAGTTTTGATTTTATACGTGATTCTTCGTTACAAGCTTCTTTATGATATAATTGAAGTTGACATTAAAATAAAGAGAAGGAGAGACAAACGGACGAACAGATGGGTAGACAGACAAGTAGAGAATGCAAAAATAATACACTCTACCGCGTTTTCTCTTTATGTTTTAATTACGTATATCAGGGCATTCGAAGTATTTGTAAACGTAGCATCGGGCATGTTTAGTGAAGCCTAATCTATAAGGAATTTATTAAAGAAACATAACCAAAAAAAACGGAAAAAAGGAACAACAAAAATTTAATAAGAAGTTTGTGAACCAATCGAATTAACGGCCTTTGGTACGCTATAAATACAAAAAAAAAAAAAACCTTAGCCATTAATTCAGTGAGTGACTGTGAAACTGTGTTCATCTTGTTTTTTCTTAAACGATTAGCTGTATCATTATTGAAATGCGCTTTTTGAGAAAAGGGTCCGATCGCACAGTGGGCTAAACAATTTTTAGCAATGGTAAATGGTATACACCCACACATAAACATACGTACACACACTTTTACTACGTTTGTACTTTATGTACATACATACACTTCCTGCTGTGTTGTTAATTAACTTCATCAGAAAAGAAAAGTAAGAAAAAAATCTTAATTACTGCCGACTACGAGCCCACTTACCCCGGTATCGAATTATTAACAACAACAACATCAACAACAATAATAATATCTATTTTCGTTTCAGTAATTTATACTCTGTTGCGAGGTTTGGAAGTGATCTTTACAATTTGTACATGGCTTTACTATTACATCTATATTAATTACGATTTAAAGATTGTATATAAATCAACCTCAACCATTCTTATAGTAGACGTGATTGTTGATAAAAATACCAAATGAAAATTAGAGAAAATTAATTTCGAACACTTTTGCATGATACGATAAAACAATAATAAAGTCACAGAAGGTGTTATTATCTCATTTTATTTTTCAGTTGATAATTTTTAGAATTATTTAGATTTCCCTGATTTATTTAAAATGTTATTTTGCTTATTTTTGTTTAAATTTAATATATTCGCGTAAAAAAAATATATATATATATATATATATACATATATATGTATATATATATTTGGAATAATTAATATAAAAATTAAACTTTTATTTAATTTTCTTTAAATCCCCTTATTTTTCCTTTAATTCTGTATAAATTCATCAATAAAACTATAATTATGATATCGACAAAAGAATTATTTAAATTGATTTTACATTAATTTACGTCGATTATCTATCATTACATATGCATTTTTTCTTATAGAATGCAATCACTATCTTTAAATTATTCGCAACTCTGAAAGAATTATTTTTCATGGATTTTAATCATTAAATAAAATCATACGTAAATTAATTGGTAATATCTAAAAATATATAACATCATCTCTGTGAAATATCTAAAAAGAATTTATATTAATCATCGTAAAATTCAAAGTGCAACGCGATTATAAAGCGATTCAAAGAAGAAATGGTGGGGGTAGTTTAAGACATGCGCAGAAGAGTCAATATGATAGTCATAATCAAGAGATAATGGTTGCAGAAAAAAGTAGGAAATAAAGGATGATGAATTTTATTTTTGAAATATTCGATATTAATATCTTGTTTTTTTATATAAAAAATTAATTATTAATTATTAAATAACAATGGTTTATTAACAATTTAATAACTATTATATAAAGTCATAATTTCTAGTAAAGAAATGTCAGAAAGAAAAGTTTTTGTAACAGTTGGTACTACAAGTTTTGATAATTTGATTTCAACAATATTAACTCCTGTAGTGCTTCAGGTATACATTGTTTTTTTTTATATATTCTTAATTATATTATAAAGAAATAATAAAATATTAATAATTTTTGTTTAATTTTAGGCATTAAATTTGAGAGGTTATAATTATTTATCTTTACAAATAGGTAAAAGTTCTTTAAAACCTGATTGTACACCTCGATATGGTATCAAACATATTGAATATTTCCAATTAAGTTCATCTATCGAGAATTATATACAGGCAACTGATTTAGTAATAAGTCATGCAGGAGCAGGAAGTATTTTAGAAGCCTTGGAAGCTAAAAAACATTTAATTGTAGTTACTAATGAGTTACTTATGGACAATCATCAATTAGAATTAGCTCAACAATTATATGAAGATAAGTATTTATTTTATTGCACTTGCGATACTTTATTAAATACTATTCAAACAATGGAGTTAAATAAGTTAAAACCATTTATGTCAGATGGAAGTAAAAATATTGTTAATCATTTAGACCGTATCATGGGTTTTAGATAAAATAAAGTATGTTTCTATTTATAAAACATATTGAATTGATAAATTATATTAATCAATATCTTAAACTCTTTTTTTTCGTAAATTATATTAATGTAATAAATTAACATTATCAGGAAAACATTAAAAATGATTACAAAGCTATATAAGAATGCAAGGAGAATAGTAGTTTAGGTACAGTGAGAATGTGAGAACCATATATTATATTTATGTTGAAGTACATATAGATAATATAGAATAGATAAACTCTATATTTAATAACAATATAAAAAATAATATACTTAACAAACAAGCGTGGCTTAAAATGTTTATTTAGATATAAAGACAACTTTCTTATTTCATGTAAGAATAAATGATAAAAAATGTGGCAGTCAACTTTTTAAAATTTTTGTTAAATCGACATATCATTGAATTAATTTCTGATTAGTTACTTAAACACTAAAGTTGTCCATTTATAGTGTTTCTTGATAAAGCACTCTAGTATTTAAATAAACTTAAATCGTTAACAAATATTAGCTATAACTTTTACTTTACCATTATTTTACACATAATATGTTAGATAAATATCATCGAATTTTTATGAAACAATGCGTTATCGGCTTTAGGATAAGCAACTTTTGTTTTATATTTAGATCTTTAAAACCGTTGTGTTTCTCAATCACAACAGCTATTACATTTTCAATTTATTTCATAAAGATACACGAATATGCAGAAATGAACTACATTGAGCCAAGGAAATATATTTTAATTACAGACCAGACCAAGACGGGTCATTTCTTTTAATAGTTCATTACCCATTTGTGCAGGACTCCTTGTTACTATTACTCCAGCCTGAAAATTAAATATTTCATTAAACAAAAATAATTATTAACAACATTTTTTTTCTCAATTTAAATATAAAATTTTCTCACTTTTTCAAGGGCATTGATTTTATCTTGTGCACCTCCTTTTCCTCCTGAAATAATAGCTCCTGCGTGACCCATTCGTCTACCTGGAGGAGCAGTAAGACCAGCAATAAACGAAACTACTGGTTTCGCTTTAGAACCCTAGAATTTACAATGAAAACAATATTTAATTTTTTTATAAGATAGCCAAAGAGAATTATATTTATATGCATAGAAAAAAGAGAGAGGAAGAGAACAAAGTATGAATGAATAAACAGAAGGCTTTAATGAGGAGAGCTAGGGAGAGGAATATTAGATTATTAAACAAATTGGAGTTAATATATGTAACATATATCTTGTAAAGTAGGAGGGTGTGGATCAGGATTTGGGTACCAATAATGTTTTACAGCAACCAACAGTATTATTTTCAATAAGGTATTCCGCTGCTAGTTCTTCTGCACTTCCACCAATTTCACCAATCATGATAATTCCTTCACAATTTGGATCTTTAAGGAAGACTTCCAAACAATCTATGAAATCTGTACCATTAAATGGATCTCCACCAATTCCAATGCATAGGGTTTGTCCAAGACCAGTCTTAAAAAAAAAAAACTTCTGTTATACTTTTTTTTTATGTTTTTGCATATTAATAAGATTTATAATAATTAATTACTAACTTACAATAGTTGTCTGATTTACAGCTTCATACGTTAATGTTCCTGATCTAGAAACAATACCAATTTTTCCTTTTTGATGTATATGTCCTGGCATAATTCCAATTTTACACTAAAACAAATATTATTATTATTATTATTATTATAAAAATTGGTATTTAATCATTATATTATCAATAATTATTAAAAATTGTAATACTTGTTCGGGAGCTATGATACCAGGACAATTAGGTCCAATTAGTCTTGATTTATTTTGCTCAAGTAACCGTCGCTTCACTTTAACCATGTCGTGTTGGGGAATACCTTCCGTAATACAAACAATTAGGGGCATTTCTGCATCCATTGCTTCCATAATAGCTGCAGCAGCACCCGGTGGTGGAACATAAATTACAGACGCTGTAGCTCCTGTTGCCTCTTTTGCCTATATATATTTTTTCAGAGGTAAGTTTTATGTTTTTTAAAGAAATTAACTGAGCCTTATATAAAATATGAAATGAAATAAAAGTATAATACTAACATCTTTCACACATTTGAATACAGGTTTTCCAAGATGAGTTGTTCCTGCTTTTTTTGGATTAACACCACCTACTATTTTTGTACCATAATCTAAAGCTTGCTGGCAATGAAATGTACCTTGTTTGCCAGTAAATCCTTGACATATTACTTTAGTATTCGAGTCAATTTTTAAATTCTGCCTAGTTTCCGTGTACTTGAATCTTATTTGAGATTGTAATATTCTTTTACAACTTCCAACTGAAATAATAATAATATACATGTTAGAAAATCGATAAGACACAAACATAAATATTAAAAGTATTAAAAAAAATAATTTTGTTTTTAAAGTTACTTTAATAAAAAAAAAAATTATTTGTTATAGAAATAAATTACTTTAATAATATGCGTTTAGGAAAAAACATTTTGAAGTCAATGTTATTCTTAGTCACAATAATAAAATTGAGACTTTTGGGTCAAGGTTCAAAGGTACTTTGACAATTTATCTATTAAAAAGTAAGAAAATAACAGAAAATAAGATCTATTTTAATGCAATAAGATAAATTAAATAAAATGCAAATCTAATTACTATTCAATTTAAATTAAACTCGATGAAAAACATTGACAGTTTTAAGAAGATGAAGTAAATTCAGGGTTTCTTAAATAGAATTATTCTCTTAGCTTAATTATAAGTAACATTTGATATAATTACAATGAAAAGGGCGTATAAAATTGGACATTTATGACATTAAACCAATTTAAATACCATTATCTATGGGGAAATAAATTCTATTATGCATTGTCTTATGTAATATATTGGTAAATACGTGAATACATAAATCAGAATTATTTTTAGTTCGAAATTACAGTTATTTATGACATAAGGAAAAATATTTAAAAAAAAGAAAAAGAATGCAAGGACATGGAAATGCATGTATTAAATCATTTAATGCGATACGTCAAAAAGATGCTATGGTTATCTTTAAGTTAACTTTAATTTCTAAAATCTTTAAATAAGAATTGTTAAATCGAAATAATTAATCTTACTTGCAAATTTAGAAAGTGTCCTAGTAGCCACAGCCATGTTCTATTAGTAGTTTTTCTATGGAAAAACTATTGTAAATATCTTGATAATTGAGAAACCACCATTAATAGAACTACCGTGGCAATGGTTTGGCAAGAAGGCCAAGAAGCAAGTCAATGCAAGAATAAAATGAAATACGACAGTATCACTGTAGACCAGTGAGTGTAGCGCGCACGATTTAGTGAGCTCGATATTTATCTCATTCTTGATAGTGAAAGTACAATTTTTAACTACGAAAAAAATAAAATTATCTAAATCTATTCTCTTCTTTTTTATTGGCAAATTTTTAATCCATCTAACATGATAATACTAAGTTACACTTAAATTTACTTTTTTTTTTTGTTTAAATTTCATATGACGATATTCTAGGGGTTTTCATCTTTCTTACTGTTGTATTTGTTGCATTGAATCAACCAATAGGAAATGTAAAAATGTATCTAGGAATTTTATCGAATTAATGATATATCGAATAATCGTGATTGGTCGATACTTGTTACGATGTGTATCAACCATGTTGCTGTCATGGCGGGTATTTAGTACCGCTACATTGATCATAATACAGTAATACGTTTGTTTTTACCGAATAGTGAAACAAAATATACGTCTAAGGCGAATTAATTAAAACTAAAATAGAAAATATAAATAAATAAGCGTCATTATGTCGACAGATTTTTATATACGATATTACGTCGGCCATAAAGGAAAATTTGGTCACGAATTTCTTGAGTTTGAATTCAGACCTGATGGAAAATTGCGGTACGCTAATAATTCCAATTATAAGAATGACACTATGATTCGGAAGGAAGCTTATGTTCATCAATGCGTTATGGAAGAATTAAAACGCATTATTCAAGATTCGGAAATCATGCAAGAAGATGACTCGTTATGGCCACAACCTGATCGAGTTGGACGTCAAGAATTAGAAATTGTCATCGGAGACGAGCATATATCATTTACAACTTCAAAAACAGGATCACTTTTAGATGTTAATCAATCACGAGATCCTGAAGGACTACGTTGTTTCTATTATCTTGTACAAGACTTAAAGTGTTTGGTGTTTTCTCTTATAGGATTACACTTTAAGATTAAACCTATATAAAACAAAAAAATAAAAAGGGAACAATAAGATTAATTCATATATTCCTCATTGGAAATATATTTCTATTATCAATGAAATATATGTAATTTTGTAATAAATAGGATTATAAAATAATATTAATTGATTTATCATAAATGATCGCCATGCTTTCACATGTATGTTTGACGTACAATAATATTTTATATTATAAGATAACTTTTTCTAAAAAGAGTAGAAATATAAGATAATTTCAAGTGTTTACTTTTAATTACTGTATTATCTAAATTATTTAATTAAATATACGATGACTAAAAATTATGAATCATCAATGAGAAAAAGAGATACTAAATCTTGCATCTTGCTTGGATTCCATGTTTTTATTCAGTCACACTACTAACCATAAGTATGGCTGTGTAAATTCATATTTATTCTCGAGAACGAAAGACTATAAAATTAATAATCAATTGGTTTTTCATCGATAAACATGAAAGTAATCGAATTTATACCAAAAACGAATAGTGTAATAACAAAAAAGATACGTACGATATATTTCTAATAGATCGAAATTCGTCTTTTTTTGAGGTTAGCATTTTCTAATTATTAATTGGAAAAAAGACATTGCTGCTGATGATTTAAATAACATAATATTGAATTATAGATGTGAAATATTTTTTACGAAGGATAAAATGTCTGAAACACCAAAAAATGGAGACCATAGTAAAAAAAATGAACGAGTTAGAACGGTTACAGATTCCGTTCATGAAAGATTCCGTGAGGTTCGTGTCTATTGCGATATTTGTAGAATTGCTTTTATTGGAAACCGTAAAGAAATAGAAAAACATTTTAACAATTCACATCCCTCAACGACAATGTGTTGTTATTGTAAAGGCAAGGTATTCAAATATCAAGAATTAAGAGATTACAGTTTTGATACTAAAGAACCTCAGGAATTTATCTATCACAAGTGTCACAGTTCAAGATAATAGTACAAATCTAAATGGATTCCATTGGAATTCTTATAATTTATGTACAAAAAATAAAAGAACAAAATAAATTTATTATTATATGATAATACCGATATAAGAAATAAATTTTATTTACAAATAGTAAATTACAAAGATACACGAATTTTTGTACACAGTATAATATTACATATTTTTTTTTCTTAATTATTTATAAAGAGAGTTCACATTTTCTATTATAAACAATAATAGGCAAATGTGATAAAATACATTATAATACTTTTTATGCATATAAAATTTGGTTTCATAAATTCCATTATCATAGGCAATACCCTTATCGTATTGTTTAAGGCATACACCAGCACAGAGTTCGGATATAGTGATTTATAATATAAAAAATAAACTGTTTAACGCAATATTACTAGACATCACAGTGACTCAAATAATTCTTTTATAGAAAATTTAAAATATCTAAAATAGTAGAGAGCAATAATTTTAAATTTATATATCAATGTTAAAGACAAACAATTTATAAACTCACTTTTTGTTTTAATTTTTATCTATCGCATTAATATTGATAGTATTAAAAGAAGCACCTATTAAGTATAATTAAAGGTACGATCATACATTAGCTGTTAGATATTTATACATAACTTATAGAAGATGATATCGTTAAAAAGAAATATTTATGTTAAAGAATTTTAAATAAAATGTGAATACTGTTTATATAACGTATACCAAGCATTTAGAATAAACTACTTAAAATGTGCAACTTATATATACTATCTGATAATTTGGTACTCTAAAACTGTACATTTGTAATTATTCTTATTGTTCTCAAATATTATTACAGCACACATTAAAAAATGCATTATATTAATCTTATACGCAATAGCAAGAAATATTAATTTTAAATAAATACATATTATATAATAGTCCTATAAATTTATATAAATTGTTACTTTGGCATTAAAATGTGCTGTGCGGTTTAAAGTGCGTTCAGGTTGCATTTGCTCAAGGTATAATTAAATTTTTGAAATTAGTATTAGTGCATAGAATTTAAAATTCAAAATACTTTTCTTTTGTTATAGAAAATTAAACATACATTATTGATGCACTAATACGAATAAGTAGATATTTGTTGATATATCAATTTCATAATCCTATTATAGAAATTAGGAAATATTATTCTAAAGCATAATTATCCAAAAATAACTTTAATCTTGTAGGATAATCTGTCATTACTCCTGTTGCTCCAAGATCGAACGCTTTCTTAAATTCTTCATCTTTGTTTAAAACCCAAAAGTATACCTGTTATAGTGTTTTTATTTTTTTTTTAATATTTTCCTTTTTTTTTGTAATATTTAGTTAATGTAATTTGATCAACTTTACTCACATGTATTCCACGTGCTCTTAAATGTGTAAATAAGCATGGTCTCATTAACAGTAAATTGATAGTGCGTACAACTAGTTTTTCTAATGGAAAGATCGTTGGGTTTGATCTATTCTTGCGTCTTAAGAACATAAAAGTATTTTTCTAGAGGTATTACATGTATTATATATTTATTTGAAATAACATTAACTTACCGTAAATAAATAGAAGGTAAAAATATTTCTAAATGTGTCTCCTTTAATGGTACAAATGGTAACAATCCAGTATATAGGAGAAATAATAGCATTGTGACACGTCGCATAGAAAATAATAGATTTACACTTGGATTCTGTAACGTAGTATTAATAAATGTTAATCAACAAATAATAATTTTATAAAATTAATAATATTAAGATTGTTAAAACAATGATGTACCATTTTGTAACATTTACGTGTTATTTCATCACTAAAATTGCCCCAAACTGTATATTCCTCTCGTTGAAATTCAATAATTAATTCAGATACTCTTTTTATAAGTTCATCGTTGTTTATCTTTATGTCAATATTGATAGGAATAGTTGGAAATTCCTCGAATACTTCTCTCAATAAAGGAAAACGTCTTTCATCTTCATTAGCAGAACCAATAAATTCCATGTCTGTGAACTACTATTTTTAAATAATTTCATTCAAGGCTGTTAATATTCTTAGAAGAATAAGCAAAATACCTGGATCAAAATCAATAGGAAGACGTGGTTTCAATGGTGGCAATTCTTTGTAATTTAAATCTGAGATGTTCTTATTGGTACCAGTGCTACGCAATAAATTTTGATCATGCGATACAACCACTTTACCATCTTTGGTAAGATGACAATCTAATTCTAACATTTCAGTACCGATAGCCACTGCTCTGTAAATACATATATTATTTAATTAAATTATTTTACAAAGGATGACAGTTGAATGAAAATTGTCAACGATTATATAATCATGCATTCAATAGAATGACATAAAGAATTTATTGCACTCATAAACATAACCCTGAAAAAATAATATTAAAACTAACCGTCGAAATGCAGCCATGGTATTTTCATAATTTTCTCCAGCTCCTGGAATATGTTAGAATAATATTTAAAAGAAGTATTCATATAAAGTAACTCATAGTAATATAAAGTGATATTAAATAAGTAAATAGAACATACCACCTCTATGACTGATATGATGACAATTAAATTTAATTTTCTTCTTTTTATGAAGTAATGTTGGATATTTAAATAATATCATTGATGTCAAAACGTAACCTCCAATTAATGTATATAGCAACATCTTTTTGGCGTTATTTTTTCATCCAATGCACGTTAAATAATTATAGAAATTATTAATGCAGTATTAAAAAACGTTAAAAGGCAGAATTTGCAATCGTCACGTTATTGTAAGTTTTTTTAGAGATAATAATAGCCACCAATTTTAAACAATTATAATAGATAATATAAATTCATGTAAATTGTTCTTTAAATGCCATGTAAACCTTTTATGACAAAGCAAAATTAATCGGCTTTTAATTTATTATTAGTTTTTTTATTGGAAACTGGAAATTGGTTTTTATTGAGAAGAAAATCAGGAATAAAAAATTGTGTTAATTTGTAATCGTTTTTTTTTGTTTTTAGATATCCATAAACCAACCGTGTATGTTCCCGCGCCCTGGGTAGATCTTTGTTTTCATTCATGAAAACGTCAAATATTTGATAAATATGTTTATCTTCTTCTTACATTTAATCAAAAAATTTTATAATTTCATTATTTATTTTACTTATTTAACGTAATAAATAATGACATATAATCTATTTAAAAAAATGATAAATTTGAAGTTAAAAGTTAACCTAAAAGATAAACGGGGCTACATAACTTAGTATCAATGCAGAATACATACAGAAAATTGTTTCAACTTTATGATATTCAATAAAAATTGATCTTAATTAATTTTACTAGGTAATTATAACTATTTAAAGAAAGGATATTTTATTTAAAGGCTATTTCTATTCGAAAAAAAATGATTTAAATACACGGTCCTACGATATGTGTGAGTTTCTATATATATATATTATGCATCTGGCATATGTGTGTGTGTATATATGGTTTTAAAGTCAGTGGCTTGCATAGCTCAAAAAATAATTATGGATAACTAGATGGCGTTGCATATTCAGTATCTTTACAGTGTACATCATTGATAATCTGGCGCTTTATCACCCTCTTAAAATTAGTTAAAAGAACATTACGATTATTAATTTCTTTGTATTCAATTGTTTCTAAATATTCAGTTATCGTTGAGTATTTATCGTTGAGTATTTATCAATATAATACATGTATTTTTATTGCATTGATAAAAATTTAAAGTGGTAAGTTAAAGTGATTTTATTTAAAAAAAAAACAAAAAACAAAAAAAGAAGAAGTATGAAGAAAGAACACATATCTGAATATTTAAATATTAAATTATTTTTCTCCAATTAATAATTAAAATAAATCATTTTTGGTAATGTGTAATAATTTTTTAAATATTTAATTTTTTTTTCTAAAAGACAAGCTAAGAATTTTTAATAATAATTAACTTTTTATATTGTACTTTTTATTTTATAATTTTTGAATAATTATCTTTAAAAAAAAAAGAAAAATAATGTAAAAAAATAATGTTAAATCGTGTGACAATTTTATTTTTTATGTTTATTTTGTTTTTTATGTTTTTTTTTTTTATAATAAGATGTATAAAATAATTATTTAGCATTAGTATATATTATAATAGTATATTATAATAATTTATTTAGTAAAATTACATTTCCTGTAACTATCATTGAGAATAATCTTTAGTAGCTACATATGATAGTAATGTTCTTTGTTTGTGAAAGGTCATCGTGTATGACCTTTTTCTTATCTTATTGTTAGCTGTGAATATTGAATTAATTATCTAAGAGTTGAAATACTGTTCTTTATTCATAGTAGCACATCAATACATTGGAGTATTTGTGATAAAACAGTTATATTGAATAAATGTAAATGTCATTATACGTGTTAATTAATATTGAATAATATTTATTTCAGATATTAATCAATACTAAGAAAAATAATGAAGTTATTTAGTCTATTATTACTTTTGCCTTTTTTTTATATTGGTCTATGTAGGGCTAGGGAAATTACGTAAGTATAATTATTTATTAGAAATATATAATAATTTATTCATCAGTTTAATAATAAAATAATTTAATCTAATAAATTTTTATAATTACAGACATGAAGACATAAAAGATGCTATGTTAAGTTTGGTGCATATGATGAGAGAAAATACTGAAAAATTAGAAAGACATGAAGCACGCGAAAGACAATTAGGAGAACAATTAAAAAAAGCTATCTCCACATTAACAAAACGGATATCTACCATAGATGGAGTAAAATTGGCCAAATTGGATGAAAGATTAGGAGGAATTGAACAATTAATAGCACAGGTAATAAGTGCTTTATTATTTTATTATTTAGAAAAATTAATATTATTATTTTAAATGCAATGGTTTCATTTTGTTTAGAGAGATGAACGAGAACGTATACAAATGCAGAAAACAGCGGATGCTTTAGAAGATTTGGAAGTTAGATTGGAAGGATGGTTAACGGATTTAGAAACTAAAGTAACTAAAACTCAGGAGGATTCTAATGCATCATTAAATAATAAGGAAATAAATCCTGAGATTTTATCTAAGTTAAATAATACTGAATCGTTGATCATGGGACACATTACAGATCTTGAATATACTATAAAAGCAACATCAATGGAGTTACAAGATACTATGACTAATCAATCTGAGAAAGTACAGTCAATGGCTGCGAAGGTAAATTTTATATAAACAAAATACCATTCTTAATTAAAAATTTTGTTCTAATAATGCATGTATTTTTTTATATATTTAAACAGTTGGAAGATGTTAATGACAATTTGAAAAATGTTAAAAATTCGATAGAATTAGTCAAAGAATCATCCAAATCTTCAGAAAAACATGTAAGCGAGCAATCAATTATTCCTTTACTAATACAAGATCAAAATAAAGCATTAAAACATATTGAAAAGTTAGTTAAGAATTCTATAGAAGATATTCATGAACTACCGCAGTAAGTTTATTTATTAATATAACTGTATAAAAAAAAAATAAGTTAACTGACGTTTTAATGTCTATTTTTAATTTTTAGAGTTAATGAAGTTCGAACATTGCACAACGAAACGGAATCGCTTTTACAAGAAACTAAACATTTGATTAAAGATATTATTATTAAAGAAAGTAATGATATAAAAGATAAAATATTGAAGAGTAAAGAAGAATCAAAAGATACAGTTGAATCGTTGAGGTATAATTATTATAAATAATTACTTATTTGACAAAATCTTTTCCTAAGATGTAAAATATATTGTTAATTGTACTTATTTATCAAATTTTAGAATGGCTATGGCGGAAAATTCTAATCATGTAAGCAAGGAATTACATGATCTTAGTCAGGGTCAATTACTAATGGTTTCTATGGCTGATCATGTGTTAGATACGAAAAAAAGAGTAGAATATGGCGTACATCAAATTCTTTTAGAAGTAGGAGACTTGGTGAAGGCACAGAGTAATAATATTAACAATACAATTAATACAAGATTCGATGGTATCTCTAATGATATTATGGACAATCAAAATGGAGCTTTAGCTAATTTAACTACTAAGATGGAACAAGAAATGAATCAGGTAAATATATAGAAATAATTTTATAAAGTAGTCTTTTAAATAGTTGAACATCTGACGTATATTTTTTTTTCAAATAAAGGTTTGGAGACAAATAAACGTAATGTATCAGCAAATGACAGAAAGTGCAAGAGCTTTAGATAAATTACACAAACAGAATGAAGTTTATATTAATGGTACAACTTCTACCATGGATGGAATGGAAAATAAAGTAATTATATCTAATAATAATATATTATTTAATTTAATTATAAATCTGTAATGAATATATGTGAAAATAATTCATTTTATGTGTAGGTAAGTGAAATAACGAAACGTATGACAGAAGTAGATAAAAACTTAAATTATCTATTGGGTCGTCTTTTATTGGTAACGCAAGAATTTACTCAAATTAAAAGTGGATTAGGTACGGCATTAGATAAAATTAAAGCATCTTTCAAAGAGGTGCAAGAAAAAGCCCGTGATTTAAGTAATCCAGGACCATATCCATTACCTGAAAGTTATAGTGAAATAAATTAAGAAAGAACTGATTAATTATCTCTATGCATGTAAAAATGAAAGATATATATTGCAAATAAGGTAGGAACCAAAGGAGTTAGAAATTTGAATATTTTATAACCTATGTTTAATATTTGACGATTTACATAATACACTGAAAGATATTTTGCGTGAAAGTTTTTATAACTATTTTTATTTTTAATTTTATAATTTTTTATATATATCATTTTTTATTGTGTATTAAAGAAGATATTAAATATTATTACTAATATATATATATATATATATATATATATTATATACATATTTAGAATATAACTTGAACGTACAACTCATTTTTTATACAATGTTTTAAATAATATAATTATATTAAATAAAAACTTCTATATATTATATAATTATTACCTATGGTTTTGTAATGGCGTTCCATTGAAGTCTATGGTGAAAGCATATATGTATATATTACTCAATTTTAAATTACGTCATCCGGAAGCTAGTATAATCTCAGTATTGTGCAATGGTAAGCTATTTAACTCTCTGTTATGATAGTAACATATTTTTACAATTTAATCATTTTTTTTTAGATTTTATTTTTCATGGAATACCTCAGTGAAAACATTAGAAATGATTGGTCCTAAAATAAGTGAAGAAAGTTTATCAATTATCGAGGTAATTTTAATTAATTTATTTTGTATTGCCTTCAATATTTTTTCATTTTAATTTCTGTAAAACATTTTGGACGATTTTAATAGAAAATCAACTTTGATTTTGAAATTATCATAGTGGTTTAGTTTTAATATTTAATTTGATAAGAGCTTAGAGATGTTTTCTAAAAGGGGGAAAAAAATAGAAAGAAAATAAAGTAGAAAGCACGATCGTACCTTTGTTAGTACAAAGTAGGGTGAAATATGCCAAAAGGGGAACACGTAACTCGCGAATTGGTATGGTATCTTTAAAGCGCGATTAAACGACAGGAGAATTTCGATCACGATCGAGAGAGTGCACCTGGAGAGATCGAGATGGAAGTTCGAAAATGCATGTCCATCGAACTGGAGTGAAAAAAACGATTCCGTATCTTCCCTCGACAAGAATGACCTACATACTCGACATACCACGTTCCTCAAAGAAGCAAGTTTCAAATTGCGTCATTGTCATTTTTATATGAACCCATAGAATCGTATAATTAAATCATAAAATATTTATTTATATAAGTGAGAAATTAATCGAACGGTTATTGTTAAATTATTTTACAATGAAAAAAAAAACAAAAGAAAACTGATGAATAATCAACGAAAAAATTGATTTGGATAATTTTTATTAGTCGGATAAAAATGGTCGGTGAGTGATAAATGAAACAAAAAATTGATTGATCGTCTAACAAATGTAACTTTCAATATTTTTCTTTTACAATCGTATACAACGTTAGCATACATAATTAGCGTACAAAAATAAAAATAACCTAAGTAATATATATATATATATAAATATTTAGTATTGCGCGTGATAAAATAGAAGTTACGAAATGGAATGATTAGACGGGTAAACATTTCATATCGATAAAACACTTTCCTCATCTATCACGGATGCACCTGTGCTTTTTCGAAAGGCGCAATACGCGTATACACACGCAATGAGAGAGAAAGAGAGAGAGATGAGAATCGGTAGAAAGATGGACTGTCTTCTGTCTGGATCGTGCACTTGCATGAGCACGAGCAGGAGCACGCATGCATGTAAGTACTTTACGTAAGTGCGATCGAGTCTTTCGATGAGTATTATCTGGAGGGTAGGATCGGTTAGTAAGATCAGTAAGAAGGATCGACTTTGCGTTGGAATACTTTTTCGCCTGTCTTTCTCTCTCAAATAAGAAGAAGTAGAAAAAGAAGAAGAGGAGAAGGACTGCGTAACGGCATAACGATTTTCACAGGTGCAATGATAATTACGACGTTCTCGTCGAGGCCGTGAAAGAGGAACGTGCGCAAACGTACGATTCAGTACATATCGTATCATATATATATATATACATATATATAGATATTACAGAGACGGTGGACACTTTCTCGGTGAACCGAATCGAAGGCCTCCGGAATCTACAGCTTGCAAATAATAACAGCTTTACGCGTTGAGAGAAGAACACCAAAGAGTAATATTTATCCGCTTGCCAAGTCCGGTTTTCTGATTCTCAGTTTTATACGCATAAGATGTGTTAATACATGTTTATAACGTGTACGAGTATTACCTATACAGGTGTATATCTTTTCCAGTCTGCTTTTCCTCTTCCTCTTCCTCTTCCTCTTTTAAGACTTCCTCTATCTTTGTTACTATTGTTATTCTTGCTTTTTTGTTCATTTTTTTGTTTATTACGGATTGGATTTATCATACATGTAATATTTCTTTCATCTTTATAATTGTTTTTAGTAATTTAAACTTATCTATCTCTTTGCAGATAATTAAATGAGAAGAGAAATTTTAATCTCCGAGTAGGTCGAATTTTTGTTAATAAGTATTATTTTCATTTCGTTCGAGAGCAAAGAGAAAATGAGATTTCGTTCAAATTTAATGTAAGTATATAAGGCCCATCGTTATGCAGTCAAATTAACGTACGGTATATTCAATGATTGCGACCTTAATGCATTTAATTCAGATCATTAGAGTAGAACACGTAAAAAACATTCGTTATCTACGATTTTGATTGTGAATATTTAGGAAGTAAACCGAAGAGAATCATGTTAATTTCATAATAATTAAATACATTTAACGTTTTATTTTCCTTTTTTTTTTTTTTTTTGAGAGAGATCATTTTCCTTGAAATACGAGCTGGCAAAAGGCAAGTGAATTGTTTCTGAACTGTGCTTGGCTATAACCAATGAGTAAAGAAAAGGAAGGAGTTTACCAATGAGTATTTGTATATGTGTGTGTATGCGTGCGTTGCTTTAATTAATAAGGAAAGACTGCTTGTGTCTGCGACAGCTGCCGCGATAGCCCCGAAAAGTACGCGCCTACTTACTAACGTCCTTTCCCTTCTTCTCTCTTACGACCACTTATTCTCTCCTCTTTTTCTTTCTCTCCCGTTTGCGAAGTGAAGGTAAAACCCTGTTTCATATTGAAGTGCGCGTGCGAGTGAGCGCGAGGGCACGCGCCGATTACCTGCAAGTGGAAGAACCTTACGATGGGGCACGCGTATGTCTCGTTCGTCCCTCCTTCAGGCGCACGCGCCGAGTATTCTGACCGATTTTCTCCAAGAGATCTCTACCGATCCCCGTCGAAGATTAAAAACAGAGAAAAATTTCATCCAACCATTTCCGGACTTTATTAATAAAAAAAAAGAAAAAAACAATTATCGAAGGAATATAACTCGGTCATAAATCAACGATTCGATTAGATTATTATCATTTAATTTATATTTATCTTTTTCTTTTTTCTTGGGTCATTTGTAATTAATATTTTGTAATTTTTTAATATTAATTTATAAGAATAGTTAAGGTAGATTTTTATTGTGAGTTTAATTTTTAATTTGTGTATAATTTTGTTGAAAGGTAGATAGGAATGTATCACGAGTTATAAATTAATTATTGAATTAGATTATTATATAGTTTGTATTTTTTCCATTTTGAAACTCTGTATATATTTTTTATTATTAAATATTAACGAATAGCAAAATAGATGAGAGATATAGTATTTTAGTTTAAACAATCCTAAATATTAGTAAATATATTAAAATATTATAAATATCTTAAATAATTAATTAATTAATCGAAGGAAATGTATATTGTAGTTTAAAAATACTTAAAATATGTTTGATGCACCTCCCTTGTTGAATTCTACTGTTAAACTGACCTATGAAAGTTATTTTATTAAATGTTGTTTATATGTGACTCGCAGGAGGCTAAAAATATGTATAACGAAAATAATATGTTTAGTGAATAGAATTTATTCATAGGTAAATGTCATGTCAACAATATACAGTAAAATAACTTTGACAGAGGACAACGTGCCAGTCTAACGGTGGATTTCGAAGAGGAAGGTACATAGAAAGATAAATCCACGTTTTTAGATTACAATATATATATTTTTCGATTAATTAACAATCATTTAGGATATATCGAACATTTTCAACAATAACCATTAATCTTATCATACATATATACAAACACACACATACTAATCCTAGAATTTGTTATAATTTCTTTCTCTCTCATTTTTACATGGTTTCATTAAATTTTATTCTTATCTTTACGCTTAAAAAGTTTCACTTTAAAAATGAGAATAATAAAAGAAATAATATATATTGTGTAATATTATCATTCGGTATTTTTTTTTTTTATGTTTGTTCTTTTCCACCACACATCCCTTACATGTGTAATTATTTTTTCAGCGTACTAATCTTAATATGAGAATAATTTTTACGGAGATATAGGTTGAGTTGTAATGGTTCTCATTCTATTTTTCATTCGATGTATCGATAACTCTCTCGTATATAATCGTTTTGCCAAAATTAGCTTGATAATTATAGCTCGTATTTTGTACACCCACAGCAGCCTGGAGGTCCAGCTTCCGGCTACCACTTTTACAACGATTTTCACTTTCTACAGAATTTTCGAGGCCACCAATTACCGATGCGATCGATACTAACGGTAAAGCGTCGCGTGCCCACCGTGATCGAGACAAACGGATTTGGCCGGGAGTGTTACATGTTTTTTAATTTTTTTTTTTGGTCTTCTTGCTGGACCAAAAATTGAGGAAGAAGAATAAAACAAAAAAAAAGAAAACTCGTACGGTTACATAAACGCGAACAACCTACCTACGCGATTTTCGATAAGTTTCTATTTAATGTTTTCTCTTGATAAAATTACTAAGATAAGAATTCGAAAGTGTAGGAAAAAAAAAGAATATTTTCTTTTATGTTTCGTGTACCAATAAAAAATATTATTATATTATTAATTTAATATTTTATATTTTTCTTATTTTATAGTTTTATAGTTTATTATTTTATATTTATATTGTATTATATTATTATAATATTTAAATTAAAAAATATAAAATATTGAATATATAGTATTTAATATTTTTATTTATTATTATATTATAAATATGATATCAAAATGTATATATTAAAAAAAGCATATAATACTTTATTCGTATTTCCAAAATTAATTATTAAATTTCCAAAATGTGTAAATTAAGAGTTTCATCATCAAAATTTTGATTTATTTCAGTAAGATGGACAATTGCAAAGCCA